AAAAATCGAAAAACAAAAATCTGAAGAAATGAAAAATTGAGAAATCGAACAATTAAAAAATTGAAAAATTTAATTAAAAATTTTAAAATCGGGAAATGGAAACGTCAAAAAGTCGTAAAAGCGAAAATTTAAAAAACGGAAAGTTGAAAAGCCGAAAGATTGAAAGATCGAGCAATAGGAACGTCACAAAATGGAAAAACTTAAAATACCAGAAATTGAAAATTATCAAAAATTTTAATTAAGTATTTGTTGTTGAAAAATTGAGAAATGGAAGAATGTAAAAGTCGAAAAATTTTAAAAACAGAAAAACAGATGTCGAGAAGTCGAAAATTCGAAATAAATAAAAAAAATTAAAAATTGGGAAATCGAAACATGAAAAAATCTAAAAATCAAAAAATTTTAAAATGAAAAGTAGAAATAGAATGTCGAAAAATTAGGAAAACAAAAAATTGAAAAATCGAAACATCAAAAAATTGGAAAAACGAAAAATCGAGAAATTGAAACATGGAAAAACTGAAAAATCGGGAGATTGAACAACTGAAAACTCGAAACATTGAAATCTCGGGAAATCGAAAAATTGAGAATTTGAAAACTTAAAAAACAAAAAATGTCGAAAAACTGGGAAATCAGGAAAATTGGACAATTGCAAAAAAAAAGCTGCGAAATCTCGAGAAATCGAAAAATTGAAAAATCGAAAAATTGAAGAATCGAAAAATTAAAAAATCGAGCAATCGATACGTTAAAAAATCTAAAAACTAAAAAATCAAAAAATCTAAAATTTCAAAAGACGAAAAATTGAAAAAATACAAAGACGAGAAATAGAAAAATCGAAAAAATGAGAATTTGAAATATTGCAAAATTCCGCAATTGAAATTTCGAAAAACTGATGCTGGTAAATCGAAAAATTGAAAAAAAAAAAAATTAAAAATTGAGAGCGAAAAATGAACACTTTTAGAGTAGAAAAATTGAAAAACCAAAAAATTTAAAACCGAGAAGATGAAGAATAAAAAAATCGAGAATTCGAAACCTTAAAAAATCGCAAAAACGACGATTATTAAGTATTGAAAAATTCCAAAGCTGAAATTTCGAAAAATGGATGTCGGTAAATCGAGAAATCGAAAAATCCAGAAATCGAAGTCGAAAAATTGAAAAGTGGATAAATCGAAAAACAAAATTCCGAAGGAATGAAACATTGAAAAATTAAAAAATTGCAAACTTAAAAAAATAAAAATTGAATTAAAAATTTTAAGTCGTCAAAGCGAAAATTTTAAAAACGAAAAATCGAGAAATCGAAAAATTAAAAAATTTTAAAATTCAATGGAATGGAAAATTTGAAAAATCCCAAAACCGAAGTGTCGAAAAATTGGGAAATGGGGAAATTGGACAATAGAAAATAGAAACTGCGTTATCTCGAGAAATCGTAAGATTGAAAAATTAAAAAATCTAATATTTCAAAAGTCGAAAAATTGAAAAATCAAAGAATTAAAATGTCGACAAATCGAAAAATCAAAAAAATGAGGATTCAAAATATTGAAAAATTCCAAAATTGAAATCCAGAAAAACTGATGCTGGTAAATCGAAAAATTGAAAAACAAATTGAAAACTCGAGAAACAGAAAAATGAAAAATTTTAGAGTAAAAAAATTGAAATAATGAAAAACCAAAAAATTTAAAACAGAAGTTGAAAAATCGAAACAGGGAAATTGAAACAAAAAATTAAAAATCTAAAATTTAAATAATCGAAAATTGAAATTATAGAAAAATTGAAGAATCGAAAATTTAAAAAATCAAAAATTTAAAAATTGAAAAAATAAAAGGTCGAGAAATCGAAAAATCGAAAACAATGAGGATTCGAAATATTGAAAAATTCCAAAACTGAAATCCAGAAAAACTGATGCTGGTAAATGGAAAAATTGAAAAAAAATTGAAAACTCTAGAAACCGAAAAATGAAAAATTTTAGAGTCGAAAAATGGAAAAACTCAAAAACCAAAAGATTTAAAACAGAAGTTGAAAAATCAAAACAGGGAAATTGAAACATCAAAAAATTCAATAATCTAAAATTTAAATAATCGAAAATTGAAATTATAGGAAAATTGAAGAATCGAAAATTTAAAAAATCGAAAAATCGAAATGTTAAAAAATCAAAAAATCTAAAATTTAAAAATCGAAAAAATAAAAGGTCGAGAAATCGAAAAATCGAAAACAATGAGGATTCGAAATATTGAAAAATTCCAAAACTGAATTCACGAAATCTAAAAATTGAAAAATCGAAAAAAATTGCAAAAACGAGAAATCGAAAAATGAAAAATTTTAGAGACGAAAAATTGAAAAACCAAAAAATTTAAAACCGAGAAATTGAAAAATCGACAGATAAAGAAATTAAAATAACAGAAAATTGAAAAATCTAAAATTAAATAATCGAAAAATGAAAGTATAGAACCGAAAAATTAAAAAATCAAGAAATCGAAACGTTAAAAAATCGAAAAACTGAAAAATCAAAAAATCTAAAATATTAAAAACATGGAAAAATTAAAAAGTCGAGAAATCAAAAGAATGAAGATTCGAAACACTGAAAATTTTCAAAACTGAAACCTGGAAAAATTGATGTCGGTAAATTGAGAAATTGAAACACTGAAAAATCCAAAAAATCGAAAAACTGAAAAATCGAAAAATCTAAAATTTTAAAAATATCGAAAAAATAAAAAGTCGAGAAATCGAAAAAAATGAGGACTCGAAACACTGAAAATTTTCAAAACTGAATCTCGAAAAATTGAAAAATCCAAGAAAAATAGAAAAATCAAGAAATCGAAAAGTCGCAAAGTGGAAAAATCGAAAAACAAAAATCTGGAGGATCGAAAAATTAAGAAACCGAAAACTTAAAAAATCGAAAAGTTTTAAATTCGAAAAACAGATGTTGGGATTTCGAAAAATCGAAAAATTGAATTAAAAAATTTTTAAATCTGGAAATCTACACATCAAAAAGTCGTAAAATCGAAAATTCAGAAAACGAAAAATCGAGAAATCGAAAAATTCAAGAATTAAAAAAATACAAGAATCGAAAAATTGAAAAATCTCAAAGCTGAAGTTTTGAAAAATTGGGAAATCGGGAAATTGGACAATTGAAAAATAGAAACTGTGAAATCTAGAAAAATTGAAAAAACGAGAAATCGAAAAGTCGAAGAACTGAAAAAGGAAAAATTGAAAAATTAAGTAATCAAAAAACAGATGTTGGGAAATCGAAAATACGAAAAATTGAATTAAAAAAATTTAAAATTGAGAAATCGAAACATCATAAATTTATAAGTTTCGAAAAGCGATACATTGAATTAAAGAATTTTTTTTTAATCGGAAAATCGAAACATCAAAAAGTCGTAAAATCAAAAATTTAAAAAGCGTAAAATCGAGAAATCAAAAAATTAAAAAATTACAAAAATTCAAGGATCGAAAAATTGAAAAATCCTAAAACCGAAATATCGAAAAATTGGGAAATCGGGAAAGTAGACAACTGAAAATTAGAAACTGCGAAATCTCGAGAAATTGGAAAATTGAATAATAGAAAAATGAAAAAATCGAAAAACTGAAAAATCAAAAAAAGTAATATTTCAAAAGTCGAAAAATCGAAAATATGATTCGAAATATTGAAAAATTCTAAAACTGAAATCTTGAAAAATTGATGTAGGTAATTCGAAAAATCGAAAAAGTGAAAAATCGAAGAAAAATTGAAAAATCGAGAAACCGAAAAATAAAAATTTAGAGTCGAAAAATTGAAAAACCAAAACAACATTTAGAAGTCGAGAAGTCGAAAAATCGAAACATAGAGAAATTGAAACATCAAAAAATCGAAAATCTAAAATTTAAATAATCGAAAAATGAAGGTATGTATTGAAAAATTGAAGAATCGAAAAATTAAAAATATCGAGAATTCGAAACATCAAAAAAAGGGGATTCGAAATATTGAAAAATTCCAAAACTGAAACGTCGAAAAATTGATTTCGGTAATTCGAAAAATTGAAGAAACAGAAAAATCGAGAAATGGAAAAGTCGAAAAATAGGATATTGAAAAAATCTAAAAATTGAGAAAACAAAAACTGACGATTCTAGAAGTCGAAGATAAAAATCTGACAGCGTTTCGTTAAAAAAATTTCTTAATCGTGCGAATTTTGCCTGTGAGAATCTAAAATATTTGAAAATAACAGGAACAGTTTCAAAACAATGGAAAAGTATTTACAATCACACCACTAACAACCAGTTCTTTATAAGAGTGAGACATGCATATTTAATCCAGTAGTCATCGCAAAAATGACTTTCAACTTACGATAACACACTTCTGCAATATTGTCTTGTAATCAATAACGTCAGTGGCGTAGTAATTTTAAATATTTCTCTAGTTATCTACGTAGTTATTGTTGTAAATTTTTTATTGTAGTAACTATTTAAATTCAAAAAATTTTGGCGTTTTTGAAGAAACCTGCTCTGGCTAAATACGAAAACTGCTTTTTTACGAAACGTCGAAGTAAAACGTAATTATGGCATAAATTGAAAATCTATTAAGGATACTTAAAAGACCATAGACTTTGTAAATGAGGTTAGATTAACGTTTGTTTTATTTCAAGGTTTCTTTTTTGTTGCAACCAGTCACCAATTAAGCTAAAATTTGAAATTTAAGGCGTTTGAATCGCCAAAATTTAAAAACAAAAACATACATTTTAGTTTGTCGTAGCCAAAATTCTAAACACTATTTAGAAAAATGAGCTAATCTCCAAAATTAAAATTCTTATTGTTTAAGTACTGTGACTGAATTTGTGTGCATCTAATCCTGAAGAGATCGCAACAGCTGGTGTGCTAACCCGTTTGTCGAGTTCGTAAAGGAAAGTTTGCAACGGAAGCAAAAAAGTTGGGAAGTTCCGAAACTTGAACTCATGACCAGTTAGTTTTATAGAAATGTTGTTCAGTTTGTCTTTATTTCTACTAAATTTATTTAATGAACCGTTTTTTTCCAGGACTTCGAGCCCGGTATGCCCGCTCTTCGCCTCTTCGGCAGGAAATGGTTAGCCGCCTCGGACGACCTTGTTTTCCCCGGATTATTCGAAATTTTCGTGCGGACATTATGGTCAGTCTCCCAATTCACTAACCCCGTTTCAATCTAAAAATTTCAGGCTAATATTGATCGTCATCGTACACGTAAAGTACTACGATTCCACATGGGAATGCACACGCGGCGGGGATTACGTTCGGGCTTACATCATCGGCATGATGGCCCTCCTTAGCCTAGTTATCCTCGTCCTTGTGGCTTTAGTCAATCGCAGTGCCAAAGGATCAATTACGGACGAGGAGGCACGAAAGCTCGTCCCACCCCTCCTGCTACTCAAGTTGTTCCTTATTATTCCCGAAACGGTCCTTAACGTTTTCGGGAGCTTGTGGGCGTTCTCCACGGTCCTAGTCGTGTGTCCTTACGAAGGAAACTTTTCCAGGACGGTGATTGAAGGTAAGGGATAATGATCCTCCCAAATAGGTACCAAATAGGTACTCATACTCAACCTTGTTCTTTAGCTTTAGTAGTCTTCAACTGGGTCCTCTTCGGCCTCGCGATCTTCGGCCTGGCCCTCGTGTTCGACCCTCTAGGCTCGCGCCGCTACCACGAGGTCCAGGAAACCCCCAGCGCCGGCGAGTCCCTACGCCACCGCAAGGTCACCAGCTTGTGGCAGCGCCGCTTCCGATGGGCGTGTTGCTGGGTCAAGTCCGACGAGCACGGCCACGAAGCGTTCCAGCAAGTGGCGGCCCTTCTGAGCGCCCTTTTCAGGAGTACGGACCTGGTTCCTTCGGACATCCTCGCCGGGTGTGTCCTTTTACGGGTGAAACAGAAGCGGGAAACGCGCGAGATGAGGAGGATACAGATGCTGGCGGACGACGAGCCGAAATATAGCACAGGTGGGACTTCAGGATTTTTGGGTAGTTTGACAGGGAGGTTTTTGCAGATCTGAACCGGATTTTTGCGATGGCCCCCAGGTGGATGAATCTGGAGAACGCGAGGCATTTTTTGAAGCTGTCAATGGCGGCGTACGGGTGGCCGTTCGTTATGTACACGTACTGTGGGACCGGGGTCTTCAGGTTGATGAAGGAAGTTACGTGTTGTTCGTGTTTTAGACCGAAAAAGACGTTAGTGATTGATGATAATTGTTGTTTGTGTCATTTGGCGGGAGTGAAATACATATCGAAAATTAGGGAGGATGATATTTTGTTCGCGTCGTTCAGGAACCATATTTTTGAGGTAAGCGTTTTATTTATGCTATGGTATTTTTTTTTTACTTTCGTATTGTTTTCTCGACGTTTCGTAGCCCCTACAACACGAAAAAATATGTCTTCCGTTTCCGCGTATCTGTCTGTCCGTATCTTTATTAGACAGATAATCTCCGAAACTACAGGACCGATTGTTGTCAAATTTTCTATGTATACAAATGGTAAAACGCTAACCAAAATTTGTCTGCTCATCATCACCAACAAATTTAAATTTTATAAAATAACGTACTTCTCTATTTGTGGTTTATGAATCCGTGTTGAGTTTTTACTTTAGACATCCAGATTTTTGGAAAAAAAATCAAAATTGTATAACACCATTTTACAATTTACCTAACTTTAAATTTGTAAAATCGAGAATTTGAAATCTTGAATAACATTTTAAGGTTATCGGAAGGAGGGTTAATCGTTATCAAAATTTATTGGTTTATGCCCCCTAGGAATTGATGATGTAATCTTACAATTTTGTCGAATAAATGTTAAAAAGTAGCATAGTCCTAACAATTTTTCGATATTTCAATTTTTGAGGTTTCTAAATTTTCAATTTCTCGATTCTCGACTAATTTTTGTTTCTTCCATTTCTCGATTTCTCGACTTTTCCGTGTTTCGGTTTTTCAATTTTTAGTTTATTCAATTTTTCGATTTTTCAGTTTTCGACTTGGATTTTTCAATTTTTCGATTTCTCTATTTTTCGATGTTTCAGCTTTGGGATTTTTCAATTTTTCAATTCTTCAATTTTTCTTCCATTTTTTATTTTTCGAGGTTTCAGTTTTGGAATTTTTCAATATTTCAGTTCTTGAATTTTTCGAAATTTTAGATTTTTCATTTTTTCGATTTTTTGATGTGTCTATTTCTTGATTTTTCAATTTTTCGAAATTTTAACATTTTCACTGCATGATTTCTTGATTTTTCTATTTTTCATTTCTTCGATATTTCCATGTTTCAATTTATTCACATTTTAAATTTTGGATTTTTCGATTTTTAAATTTTTAATTTTTCGATTTATTGATTTATCGAGATTTTTCCATTTAACGATTTTTTCATTTTAAATTTTTAGTTTTATGATTTTTCGATTTCTCGGTTTCTCGATCTTTTGAAGTTTTTGATTTTTCGATGTTGCAGTTTTTGAATTTTTTGATGTTTCGACTTTTCAGTTTTTCGATTCTTCAATTTCTTGATATTTTAATTTTTCATTTTAATTTTTCAATTTTTTAAATTTGTGATTTTTTGTTAGGATTTTTAAATTTTCGATATTTCTATTTTTCAATTTTTCGAATTTTTCAATTTTCGATTCTTCAATTTTTCTTCCGTTTTTCCAATTTTCGACATTTCAATTTTGGAATTTTTCAATATTTCGACTTTTCGATTTCTCAATTTTTGACGTTTTGAATTGTCGATTTTTCAATTTTTTTATGTACATATTTTTTTCAGTTGTTAAAATTTTATATTTTTGACTACTCGATTCCATGATTTTTCGTTTTTTCAGTTCTTCGATATTTCCATGTTTCAATTTTTTGAATTTTTAAATTTTTCTGTTTTTCAGTAATTTCTTAATTTAACAACGTTTCGATCTTTCGTTTTGTTGATTGTTCAAGTTCTAAATTTTTCGATTTTTCACTTATTGGATTTTTCGATTTATCGATTTTTTTAAATTTTAATTTTATCGCGTTTTCAATTTTTAACTTTTCGATTTTTCTATTTTGGTCTTATTTCGGTTTCTCAATTATTCGATCTTTCTGCTTCTCGACTTTTCAATTTCTTGGTTGCTCGAACTTTTGATGTCTTCTTTTATCGATGTTTGACTTTTCAGTTTTTCGTTTTCCCACTTTTTGGTCATATCGTATCATTCTTTTAATTTCTTGATTTTCACTTTTTCGATCCTTTAATTTTCCGATTTCTTCAATTTTTCGGTATTTTAATTTTTTTATTTTTTAAATTTTAGGTCATATTTATATTGTTGATTCTTCAATTTTTCTTTCTTTTTTCCTTTTTTACGAGATTTCAGTTTTGGAATTTTTCGATTTTTAAATTTTCGATCTTTCGATTTCCCGATTTTTCAATTTTTTATTTGTTAAAATTTTAAATTTTTTGACTTCTCGATTTCTTGATTTTTCCTCTTTTCAGTAGTTCGGTATTTCTGTGTTTCAATTTTTCGATCTATCGATTTTCTCACTTCTCGGTTTTAGATTTTTCAGTTTTTCGATCATTGGATTTTTCAATTTTTCGTTTTTAAAATTTTTCAATTTTTAGAGTTTCCAATTTTTTAAATGTTAGATTTTTTAGGATCTTTAGATTTTTGAGCTTTTCGATGTTTCTATTTTTCAATTTTTCGAATTTCTAAATTTTCAATTCTTCAATTTTTCTTCCATTTTTCAAATTTTCGACTTTACGATTTTTTGATTTTTTTGGCGTTTCAAGTTCTCGATTTTTGAATTTTTCTATATATTTTTTTCAATTGTTAAAATTTTAGATTTTTTTGAGTTCTCGATTTTTTGATTTTTTGTTTTTTCAGTTCTTCGATATTTCCATGTATCAATTTTTTTTATTTTTAAATTTTCAATTTTCAATTTTTTTGGTGGTTCGGTTTTTCCACTTTCTGGTTGTAAATTTTTCAGTTTTTAAATTTTTCAATAGATTTTACGATTGCCTAATTTCTCAAGTTTTCGATTTTTCAGTTCTTCATTATGTATTTCTTTTTTCAATTTTTCGAATTTTTCAATTTTTCAAATTTTCCAATTTTTTGTTTTTGTCAATTTTTGATTTTTCATTTTTTTAAATTTTATATTTTTCGATTTTTGAATTTTTCGATTTCTTAACATCTTGGTTATGTTAATTTTTAGATTTTTCAGCTTGTCGATATTTTTATTTTTCAATTTTTCGAATTTTTCAATTTTTGATTTTTGAATTTTTGTTCCTTTTTTCAGTTTTTCGAGATTTCACTTTCGGAATTGTTCAATCTCTCAATTTTTCGACTTTCGATTTTTCGATTCCTCGATTTATTACTTTTTCAATTTTTAGATTTTTAAATTTAAGATTTTTCGATTTTTTGATGTTCGATTTCTCGATTTTTCAATTTTTCATTATTTTAATTTTTCAGCTGTTTAAATTTTAGATTTTTTGAATTTCTTAATTTTTCACTTTTTCAGTAGTTCGGTATTTCTGTACTTCAATTTTTCGATCTATCGATTTTCTCACTTCTCGTTTTTAGATTTTTCAGTTTTTGGATCATTGGATTTTTCAATTTTTCGATTTTGAAATTTTTCTATTTTTCAATATTTTAAATTTTAAATTTTTTAGGATCTTTAGATTTTTCAGCTTTTCGATGTTTCTATTTTTCAATTTTTCGAATTTCAAAATTTTCAGTTCTTCAATTTTTCTTCCATTTTTCAAATTTTCGACTGCTCGATTTTTTAATTTTTTGAGTTTTTGGCGTTTCGTGTTCTCGATTTTTGAATTTTCGATATATTTTGTTTTCAAATATTAAAATTTTAGTGTTTTTTTTTTGAGTTCTCGATTTTTTGATTTTTCGTCTTTTTAGTTCTTTGATATTTCCACGTATCAATTTTTTGAATTTTTAAATTTTCAATTTTCAATTTTTTTGATGATTCGATTTTTCCACTTTCCTGTTTTAAATTTTTCAGTTTTTAAATTTTTCGTTAGATTTTTCGATTTCTTAATTTCTCAAGTTTTCGATTTTTCCAATTTTTTGTTTCTGTCAATTTTTGATTTTTAAATTTTTTAAAATTTTATATTTTTCGATTTTTGAATTTTTCGATTTCTTGACATCTTGGTTTTGTTAATTTTTAGATTTTTCAGCTTTTTGATATTTCTATTTCTCAATTTTTCGAATTTTTAAATTTTTGATTCTTGAATTTCTCTTCCTTTTTTCAGTTTTTCGACATTTCAGTTTTGGAATCTCTCAATTTTTCGATTTTCGATTCCGATTTATTACTTTTTCAATTTTTCGATTTTTAAATTTTAGATTTTTCGATTGTTTGATGTTCGATTGTTTGATGTTCGATTTCTCGATTTTTCAATTTTTAATTATTTTAATTTTTCAGCTGTTAAAATTTTACATTTTTTGACCTCTGGATTTCTTGATTTTTCACTGTTAAAATTTTAGATTTTTTTTTACTTCTCGATTTCTTGATTTTTCACTTTTTCAGTAGTTCGGTATTTCTGTACTTCAATTTTTCGATCTGTTGATTTTTCCACTTCTCGCGCTTAGATTCTTCATTGGATTTTTCAATTTTTCGGTTTTTAAACTGTTCGATTTTTTCGATTTTTCAATTTTTCGATTTTCCGATTATTCGATCTTTCGTTTTGTTGATTGTTCAATTTCTGGATTTTTCAATTTTTTTTTTAATTTAAATTTTTCGATTTTTCAATTTTGGGCTATTCCGACTTCTCTTGTAATGTTTTGATTTTTCGATGTTTCTGTTTTGGAATTTTTCAATTTTTTCATTTTTCAGTTTTTCAATCATTGGATTTTTCAATTATTATACTTTTAAATTTTTCTGTTTTTTAGGTTTTAAATTTTCCAATTTATTAAATTTTGGATTTTTTTAGGATCTTTGGATTTTTCAGTTTTTCGATATTTCTATTTTTAAATTTTCGATTTTTTTAATTTTTTTGGCGTTTCGAATTCTCGATTTTTCAATTTTTTGATATATTTTTTTTGAAATGTTAAAATTTTAGATATTTTGAACTCTAGATATTTTAATGTTTCGTTTTTTCAGTTCTTCGATATATCCATGTATGTACTTATCAATTTTTTGAATTTTTAAATTGTCAATTTTTTTGATGATTCGATTTTTCCACATTCCGGTTTTAGATTTTTCAGTTTTTCGATATTTCTATTTTTAAATTTTCGAATTTTTCAATTTTTCGACTTTTCGATTTTTCGATTCCTCGATTTATTACTTTTTTTTTTTGGATTTTTTGATGTTCGATTTCTTAATGTTTCGCTTTTCAGTAGTTCGGTATTTCTGTACTTCAATTTTTCGATTTATCGATTGTTCCACTTCTCGGTTTTAGATTCTTCAGTTTTTCAATCATTGGATTTTCCAGTTTTTCGGTTTTTAGACTTTTCGATTTTTTAGATTTTTCCATTTTTCGATTTCTCGATTTATCAATATTTCGATCTTTCGTTTTGTTGATTGTTCAATTTCTGAATTTTTCGATTTTCCGATTTATGGATTTTTTTTAATTTAAATTTTTCGGTTTTTCATTTTAACTTTTCGATTTTTCGATTTTGGGCTATTCTGACTTTTCGATTTCTCGGTTTCTCGATCTTTTAATGTTTCTATTTATCAACTTTTTGATGGCCCAATTTTTTGTCATATCAGTTTTAGAATTTTTAATTTTTTTCATTTTTCAGATTTTCCATTCTGATTTCCTGATTCCTGTTCTTCGATTTTTAAATTTGAGGTTTTTGAACTTTTCAGTTTTTTGATGTTTCCATTTTTCGGTCCATCAATGTTTCCACTTTTCGGTTTTTTAAGTTTTACCATAGATTTTTCGATTTCTCAATTTCTCAAGTTTTCGATTTTTCAGTTCTTCAATATTTCAATTTTTCGAATTTTTCAGTTTTTTTAATTTTTCAGTTTTTCAATTTCTTGACATTTCGGTCTTTCGATTTTGGGAACTTTTCAATTTCTGGGTTTTTTAAATTTCAGAGGGCCAAATTTGTTGAGAAAGTAGAATAACTTGATCATAGAAAAAGTATGCAGACATTTGTACACATGCGCGCGAATTCAAATTTTGCCGCCAAAATGTGACCCAGAACCCCCATCATATAATTAGCCGCGACATCTCCACATCACCACTTTTATTTATCAATTATCACGTTTCAACTTTTGCCACTTTTCCCTTTGCAGTTGCCCTTCTGCGTAATCGTGGACCACAAAACCTCCAGCATTGTGATAGCCATCCGTGGTTCCATATCCCTACGCGACGTCTTCACCGACTTGACAGCCACGTCGGAGAAATTCGAAGCCGAAGGTCTGCCCCCCGACACCATGGCCCATAAGGGCATGTCCTGCGGGGCCACCTACGTTGCCAAAAAATTAAAAGAGCTGGGTATTCTGGACAAGGCCTTCGCCATGTACCCAGAGTACGGACTCGTCTTGATAGGACACAGCCTCGGCGCTGGAGTCGCATGCCTGCTTGCCCTTAAAATCAGACACAAGTATCCTGATCTCAAAGTATACGCTTTCTCAACACCAGGTGAGCCATAACACGCTTATTATTCTACCGTGTGATCAGAAATGACTGAGTCTGTTGGCTAAAAATCCAGGATTGCCAACAGACTCAGTCATTTCTGATATTTGCGCTAAAACAGTCTTTCCCGGTATCCTGTAGTCTTTTGTGTAGCTTAGGGGGGAATGGTAAATTGCCAACAGCTTGTTCACGCATATTAAATTTCTTTGGGAGGATATTAAATTCGCCAACGGCTCGGGTGAAGGCAAAATTGAATCTAAAAGATTCACGTTCTAGTGCTGTAAGAACGATCCGGTGCTCATTTTCCTCTTAAATTTCCTTTCGAGGGACTAATCGGTTTAGATTCTTGCGTGAAATGGCGGAAGGTGTAGTTTGACCTTTGACTCCATGTGCATTAGAGATTTTTGTTACGTTAAATGGGCGGAATGTTAATATCCGTTGAGGAAGTAAGTGTCTGAGAACAATGGGATTCTGACGAGGAAAAATTATCATTATTCATCGGGTCAATAACGTTCTGTTGAATAATCTTGACAAAGACATCCAGTTTTTATTTATTTATTCCGTCATTTTTTAAAATGGACGACAAACAAAACTGTTGAACTTTGTGATATTATTCTCCTTTCGAGCGAACTCGCTATTTTCGGAGAACAAATAACTCGGACACGGCTAAAAGTGGAGATTTTTTGTTTGCTTTAAATCTGAATGAAAAAAGTTGCCTGTTTGAAACGATGCCTCCAGCAAGGTGATGTTCGTGGATTTATTTAGTTACCGATGTTTGTTGGCGTTTTTGGGTGGATGTTACGCTGTGTAAATACAAAAAATTGTGAATAGAGAATGGCAAGCTTACAGGCCGAATTACAGAAATTGTGTTTTGGTCGACGTTATTTTAATCAAGTGGATTGTAGAAATTGTAGCTGCAGTGAAAGCAGAACGTTTTTTTTAATTATTTATTATTAAACTGGTTCATAAATGCGTGACCGAACGGTTAGTTTAATTCATAGAAAAAATTACATCGCGTGTGGTTTGTAAACTCGATGAATAATATATTTGCTATGAAGCGACGATATGGATTTATATGAGTAAAAGTAGGTTCAGAACATAATTTCAGAGAGTTCTTAAAAAAACAGTAATTTTCGATAACTTCCGCCGTGATTGTAGTTAGAATGTCTCATTGAAATATCGCAATTTTTAGAATTAAAAAAAATTATTTTCAAACCAAATATTTTCAAACTGTTGCTCCGTCAAGATAAACGGGCTATTTTTTGGAATCAGCACGTCCCTGAATTTTTTGAGAATTTTTAAACAACTTTTTCAAAAATGAAATTTTACACTAGTAGTGTACAGTTGCTTTCAGCAGGATGGTGCTCCTGCTCATACAAGTCAAGTTTTTGAGGTGACCCTTTCGACACTCTAAAAATTTGTCGAATTTTGAAGTATAGTTCGACAATCCTTCTTCTTTCATAATTTCTAAAACTACAAAATCTGATTTTGCGATTTTGGTTTTGTGATAAACTCTATAAAGTAAAAGCCAATAGTGCAATTAACACCCCGCTATGAAATATACAGGCTGTTTAAAAATGGAGGAGCAATTCTATGACAATTAGTTCAGGACCATTTATGGAACAGAGAAAAAATAATTTTCAAAAATCCTACTATAAAATTTCACTATATTTTGATTCAATACTTTGTGTTGAGTATCTGAAATCGATTGCACTTTCATTGTTCAAAATAATCTGGAGCAACTTGTTTTTAACCATAGATTTCTTCATTTTACTACATTACAAAAAAACGTATTTTGATCTATCCATCTAAATCGATATTTTGTTTGTGTAAAATTTTGTTAAATTGACAAAGAAATTTGTTTTGAATTTTCTCAGTTTTACCTTAGCAGGTATTAGCCCCGCCCACCCACCCTCTCCTTTCTTAGAAGGTAGGTCATTTGCCAGAATCAGTCTTATCTTGGCAGCTACTAGCCCCGCCCACCCACCCGCCCTCTTTTTTCTTAGAGTGTGTCATTTGCCAAAATTAGTATTATCTTAACAGGTACCAGCCCTCGAAGAAAATAAAGGGCGGGTGGGTGGGCCTAGTGCTTGCCAAGATAAGGCTGATATTTCCAAATCCCATACCCTTGAAGAAAACAAAGGGTGGGTGGGCGGGGCCAATACTTGCCAAGATAAGACGGATTTTGCCATATAACATACCCTTTAAGAAAATAAAGGGAGGGAGGGTGGTGCTAGTACTTGCCAAAGTAAGACTGATTTTGGGAGATGTCATATCCTTGAAGAAACTAACGGGTGGGTGGGTGGGGCTAATACTTGCCTAGATAAGACTGATTTTGCCAGATGATATAGCCTCTACCCTTCATTTTCTTAGAGAGTAGGTCATTTGCCAAAATCAGTTTTATCTTAGCAGGTACTAGCCCCGCCCAACCACCCTCTCTTTTCTTAGCGAATATGTCATTTGCTAAAATCAGTCTTTTTTCGAAATTTCACTACATTTTAATTCAATACTTTGTGATCTGAAATCGATTGGACTTTCATTGTTCAAAATAATTTTTAAGTAAGTGAACGTCAAATTGACGTAAATTACTTTTAATTTTCTCTGTTTTCTTACAGGGTATGTGATTTGCCAACATTAGTCTTATCTTGGCAGCTATTAGTTTCCATTCCCACTCTACAAAAGAACATTATAGTTAACCCCACCCACCCACCCCGCCTCTATTTCAATGATCCATTTTATCTGGTCAGAATGAAAGGTGGAACTTATACTCAATAGAAATAAAATAGTTGGAATGAGAACAGATGGGCGGAGCTAGTATCTGCTAACTTAGAACTGATTTTGGCTAATCACATACCCTAAGAAAATAGAGGATGGGTGGGCGGGGCTAAAACTTGCTAAAATAAGATCGTTGCAAATGGCACACCCTCTAAGAAAATAAAGACTGGATGGGCGGGGCTTAAACTTGTCAAGATAAGACGCAACAATATTAAGAGTAGTCACTGGAATGAAGAGGGATGGGCGGGGCTTAATTATTATTATTATAATTCCCAATTTTATTCTCCAATTTCGACCAATTTTCGGCCATTTTTGAAATTTAACTAAAAACATGTCGTAGTTTTTGGGCCGCAAAAGTCACTGTCGGCCTCGGTTCTTCGATTACTCAAACCGTTTTTTCAGAATCGCCATTGAAATATCGAAATTTTCAGAAATTCCAAAAATTTCAAATTTCATAACGATTATTTCCAAAATATTGCTCCGTAACCATAACATTCTATATTTTTGGAATCAGCAGGTCGAGACCTCTGTCCCTGAATTTTTTGAGAAATTTCAAACAACTTTTTCAAAAATGAAATTTTGCACTAGTACTTGCTAGGATAAGATTGACTTTGATAAATGACTGAACAATATTAAGAGTGGTCACTGGAATGAAGAGGGGGTGGGTGGGCAGGGCTATTGCTTGCTGCTTTAGAAAGACGCTGTGGAAAGAAGTTAAACTTAGCCCCGCCCACCCACCCGTTCTCTCATTTTGTTCTCTTGAAATAAGAAATAAATCTTATAACAAACAGTATAAAAAAAAATACCATTAGCACTTTTTTGTCTTTTTTAATGGCGTACGTTCTATTAGTTTCCATTCCCACTCTACAAAGAAACATATAATTAACCCCACCCCGCCTCTATTTCAATGATTCATTTTTTCTGCTCAGAATGAAAGGGGGATCTTGTACTCAATATAAATAAAATAGTTAAAATGAGTAGAGGTGGGCGGAGCTAGTACCTGCTAAGGTAGAACTGTTTTGGTAATTCACGTACCCCAACAAAATAAAGGGTGAATGGGCGGGGCTAAAACTTAACTAAACACATACCTCGTAGATTTTGGGCCGCAAAAGTCATTTCGGGCCTCGTTTCTTCGATTACTCAAAACGTTTTTCCAGAACCGCCTACTGAAATATCAAAATTTTTAGAAATTTCAAAAATTTCGAATTTCTCATAGAATATTTCCAAAATATTGCTTCGTGACCATAAACAGGCTATATTTTTGGTATCAGCAGGTCAAGATCTAGGTCCCTGGATTTTTTGAGAAATTTCAAACTTTTTCAAAAATGAAATTTTCCACTAGTACTTGCTAGGATAAGACTGACTTTGATAAATGACTGAACAGTATTAAGAGTATTCACTGGAATCAAGAGAGGGTGGGTGGGCGGGGCTACTGCTTGCTGCTTATAAAAGACTGTGGGAAAAAGTTCAACTTAGCCCCGCCCACCGATCCTTTCTCTCATTTTGTTCTCCTAAAATAAGAAATAAATCTTATAGCAAATATATATACATACCAATTTCAGTAATTCATTTTATCTTGTCAAAATGAAAGGTGGAACTTATACTCAATAGAAATAAAATGGTTAGAATGAGGACAGGTGGGCGGAGCTAGTACCTGCTAAGATCGAACTGATTTTGGTAAATCACATACCCTAACAAAATAAAGGGTGGGTGGGCGGGGCTAAAACTTGCTAAGATAAGACGCAACAATATTAAAAGTAGTCACTGGAATGAAGAGGGGATGGGTGGGCAGGGCTACTGCTTGTAATTTTTTGATTTGCAATTTCAGGAGTTTTCAATTTTTAATTATTCTTATTATTATTCCTTTATGCCAATTTCGACCAATTTTTGGCCATTTTCGAAATTTAACTAAATACATTTCTCGTAGATTTTTGGCCGCAAAAATTACTTCCGGCCTCGTTTTTTCGATTACTCAAACTGTATTTCCAGAATCGCCCACTGAAATATCGAAATTTTGAGAAATTTCAACAAATTTTAACTTCACATCGAATATTTCCAAAATATTGCTTCGTAACCATAAACATGCTATATTTTTGGAATCAGAAGGTCGAGATCTATGTCCCTGAATTTTTTGAGAATTTTCATACAACTTTTTCAAAAATGTAATTTTCCACCAGTACCTGCTAAGATAAGACTGACTTTGATAAATGGCTGGACAATATTAAGAGTGGTCACTGGAATGAAGAGGCGGTAGATAGGCGGGGCTACTCCTTCCTTATAAAAGACTGTAGGAAAAAGTTAAACTTAGCCCCGCCCACCCACCCGGTTTCCTTTTTAGTGATTCATTTTATCTGGTCAGAATGAAAGGTGGATCTCATAGTCAATAGAAATAAAATAGTTAGAATGAAAACAGCTGGGCGGAGCTAGTACCTGCTAAGGTCGAACTAATTTTGGCAAGTCACGTACCCCAACAAAACAAAGGGTGGGTGGGCGGGGCTAAAACTTGCTAAGATAAGACGCAACAATATTAAGAATAGTCACTGGAATGAAGAAGGGGTGGGTGGGCGGAGCTACTGCTTGTAATTTTTTGATTTGCAATTTCAGGAGTTTGAATTTTTTATTATTAGCATTATTATTATTCCCTTAAACCAATTTCGACCAATTTTCGACCATTTTTGAAACTTAATTAAATTCATTTTCGCGTAGATTTTGTGCCGCAAAAGTCACTTTCGACCTTATTTCTTCGATAACTCCAACCGTTTTTTCAGAATCGCCATCGAAATATCGAAACTTATAGAAATTTCAAAAATTTCGAATTTCGCATCGAAGATTTCCAAAATATTGCTAAGTGATCATAAACATGCTATATTTTTGGAATCAGCAACTCGAAATCTATGTCCTTGAATTTTTTGAAAATTTTTAAAGAACTTTTTCAAAAATGAAATTTTCCACTACTACTTGCTAGGACTGACTTTGATAAATGACTGAACAATATTAAGAGTAGTCACTGGAATGAAGAGGGGGTGGGTAGGCCGGGCCATTGCTTGCTTATAAAAGACTCTGTAGGAAAAAATTAAACTTAGCCCCGCCCACCCACCCATGTTTTCATTTTGTTCTCCTGAAATAAGAAATAAATCTTATAGCAAATAGCACTTTTTTGTCTTTTTTAACAGCCTACGTTCTATTAGTTTCCATTCCCACTCTACAAAGGATAATATAATTAACCCCACCCACCCACCCCGCCTCTATTTCAGTGATTCATTTTATATATGTGGTCAGAATGAAAGGTGAATCTTATACTCAATGGAAATAAAATAATTAGAAAGAGACGAGGTGGGCGGAGCTAGTACCTGCTAAGATAGGACTGCTTTTGGTAAATCACATACCCTAAGAAAATCAAGGATGGGTGGGCGGGGCTAAAACTTGCTAAGATAAGACGCAACAATATTAAGAATAGTCACTGGAATGAAGAACGGGTGGGTGGGCGGGGCTACTGCTTGTACTTTTTCGATTTGCAATTTCAAGAGTTTTCAATTTTTAATTAGCGTTATGATTATTCCCTTAAGCCAATTTCGACCAATTTTGGACTATTTTTGAAACTTATCTAAATACATTTTCTCGTAGATTTTGTGCCGCAAAAGTCACTTTCGGCCTTATTTCTTCGATAACTCTATCCGTTTTTTCAGAATCGTCGATTGAAATATCAAAATTTTTAGAAATTCCAAAAATTTCGAATTTCACATCGAATATTTCCAAAATATTGCTTCGTGAACATAAACAGGCTATATTTTTGGAATCACCAGGTCAAGATCTACGTCCCTGGATTTTTTGAGAATTTTGAAACAACTTTTTCAAAAGTGAAATTTTCCACTAGTATGTACTTGCTAGGATAAGACTGACTTTGATAAATGACTGAACAGTAGTAAGAGTATTCACTGGAATCGAGAGGGGGTGGGTGGGCGGGGCTATTGCTTGCTGCTTATAAAAGACTCTGTGGGAAAAAGTTAAACTTAGCCCCACCCACCCACCCGTTCTCTCATTTTGTTTTCCTGAAATAAGAAATAAATCTTATAGCAAATAATATAACAAAAAAATACGATTAGCACTTTTTCGTCTTTTTTAATAACGTAGGTTCTATTAGTTTCCATTCCCACTCTACAAAGAAATATATAATTAACCCCACCCACCCTGTTTTATATTAGAACGTATTAGCCCCGCCCACCCACCCTCTCGTTTCTTACAGGGTATGTGATTTGCCAAAATCAGTCTTATCTTGGCAGCTATTAGTTTCCATTCCCACTCTACAAAAGAACATTATAGTTAACCCCACCCAGCCACCCCGCCTCTATTTCAATGATTCATTTTATCTGGTTAGAATGAAAGACGGATCTTGTACTCAATAGAAATCAAATAGTTAAAATGAGTAGAGGTGGGCGGAGCTAGTACCTGCTAAGGTAGAACTGATTTTGGTAATTCACGTATCCTAACAAAATAAAGGGTGGGCGGGCGGGGCTAAAACTTGCTAAGATAAGACGCAACAATATTAAGAGTAGTCACTGGAATAAAGGCGGGGTGGGTGGGCGGGGCTACTGCTTTTAATTTTTCGATTTGCGATTTCAGTAGTTTTCAATTTTTGATTATTATTATTAATATTCACTTATGCCAATTTCGACCAATTTTCGGTCATTCTCGAAATTAAACCAAACACATTTTCTCGTAGATTTTGGGCCGCAGAGGTCACTTCCGTCCTGAGAAATATCAAAGTTTTTAACAATTCCAAAAATTTCGAATTTCACATGGAATATTTTCAAAATATTGCCTTATGGTCATAAACAGACTATATTCTTGGAATCAGCAGGTTGAGATCTATGTCCTTGGATTTTTTGAGAATTTTTAAACAACTTTTTCAAAAATGATATTTTCCACTAGTACTTGCTAAGACCTACTTTGATAAATGACTGATTAATATTAAGTGTAGTCACTAGAATGAAGAGGGGGTGGATAGGCCGGGCTATTGCTTCCTTATAAAAGACTCTGTAGGAAAAAGTTAATCTTAGCCCCGCCCACCCACCCGTTCTCTATTTTGTTCTCCTGAAATAAGAAATAAATCTTATAGCAATTAGTGTGATTAGCACTTTTTTATCTTTTTTTAACAGCCTACGTTCTATTAGTTTCCTTTCTCATTTTACAAAGGAACATATAATTAACCCCGCCCACCCACCCCGCCTCTATTTTAGTGATTCATTTTACATATGTGGTCAGAATGAAAGGTGGATCTTATAGTAAATAGAAATAAAATAGTTAGAACGACAACAGGTGGGCAGAACTAGGACCTGCTAAGGTAGAACTGATTTTGGTAAATCACAAACCCTAAGAAAATAAAGGGTGGGTGGGCGGGGCTAAAAATTGATAAAATAAGACTGGTCGTAGCAAATGACATACCTTCTAAGAAAATAAGAGGTGGATGGCTGAGGGTTAAACTTGCTAAGATAAGACGAAACAATATTAAGAGTAGTTACTGGAATGAAGAGGGGGTGGGTGTGCGGTTGCTACTGCTTGTAATTTTTCGATTTGCAATTCAGCGGTTTTCAATTTTTATTTATTATTAGTATTCCCTTATGCCATTTTCGACCAATTTTCGATATCCCAGAATTTTTTGAGGATTTTTGGACAATTTTTTCAAAGTTGTTTAAAATTTAACCGCTACCGCCAAATTTTTCCCAAAGAAGATCGTTATCTCCTTGTTGTTTTAACAAGATCTCAGTCCGACTCCATGACTCACTCCCTAAATGCCACACTCGCCCGAATTAGCCACACGATAAATCTCGCACGCCACAACAAAACCTTGCTCATATCAAAGAAATTTATTATAATTTAAAACGCCAAAGTTCGCGCAATCCGCAAACTAGGTGGAGGTCGCTTCGTCCATAATACAACAATTTGATGTTTTGTTTTGCATTTTCCAGCCGGTCTTCTGAGCCGCGATGCTGCAAGACTGACCGAAACCTTCATTTTCACCGTCGGCGTCGGCGACGACTTCGTGATGCGTTTGGGAGTCGACAGCATCGAAAATCTGAGGACCGGGATCATTCAGACGCTCCACGCCAGTAAATTGCCGAAGGTAAGTGAGTGGAAAACTGGAAAAGCGGCTCACACGCTCCGACTGGGATCAAATGATCCGGGAAGGAGTTTGCATGGTTTTACTATTATGGATTTTTCGAATGCACGACTCGGTTTAATTTGTTCTTACGTGCTTATCCATTTTCCGAGCCAGCGAGGAACTTTTACCATTATGTAAAGCGCCGACACTAAAAGTCGTTCCGTGCGGACTGGCGTAAAAGGAAATGCGAGTCGAGTGGAAAAATGACGAGAGTTAAACTTGGTGTTTGATGGGTTTGTACCAGAATAAACAGAGCGCGTAAGAAAAAATTCGAAAATTATTCTTGATGTACATTTATTTTATTATTTTACATAATCACTAATCAGCGATCCTAATCTTTGTTAAAATTTACATAACAATCAGATATTTTTCTAAATTTTCATACACAAACCTTTTTTATATCGTCAAAATCATTGAAATAATATATTGTCGCTCCAATTAATGAGCCCCATCTTGTCAGAACAGGTTCTGGAGGCAATGGACAATCCGGTAAGTCTTCTCGGAAAGCTTGGATCCTCAAATGAGCTTTAAGAAATACTTTCTTTACGTTGGAAATTAAATCATTGATTCCGGATAACTTCAGCCCCTTGGTCGAACAACGAATGAACAATTCACATTCCTAGTGTTCTCTAAAAAAAAGATGACGTCATTTCCAGTTCTATCGGAAGTAATAATAAAAATGTGAGGTTGCCATCACATAAGTAGATCTTTTAAAATGACACAAATTTGCTCAAAGAACTACAGGTTTATCTTTAAGATTAAAAAAGTTTCAGGGGTTGTATCAAATAAAAAAAACACTCTGTATATTTTTACTTCAGAGGCGAGGGAAGATCTGTCTAAATAACTTTAGATCAATTTTTTGCGTTTAAAAGAGAAAGGCTCGCAGGCACCTATTTTTTTATATAAAAAAATCTTCAGGGCCTCTTACGTTTTGTTTCTAAATTTTTGAAGAAGAAATCAAAACTTTGTCAAAAATTAGAAAATCAGGATTTTTAAAAATGTAAAAAATCCAAAAATTAAAATATCAAATAGATGAAAATGTTGAAAAATGTAAGATTTAAGAACTCCCAAATTTTTGAAAAATCGAGTAAGTAAAAAATTAAAATCTTGAAAAATACCAAAATTGGAAAATCCCAGACCTTAAACACGGAAATCTAAAAATTGAGAAATCTAAAAATCCGAAAATTAAAACCCGATTCATCGAAAAATTGAGAAAACGAAAAATCTAAAAATTTAGAAACGTCAAAAATTGAAGAATTGAAAAATTGAAAAATTGGATACTCGAATAATGGAAAAACTGAGAAATCGAGAAATGGAAATCGAAAAATTGAGATATCGAAATAGCTAAAGATCGAAGAATAGGAAAATTCAGAATTGAAAAATTTAAACTTAAAAAACCCGATAAATCGAAATATCGAAAAACTGAAAAATTAATTCCGAAAAATCTAAAATTTCAAAATTCTAAAAATTGAAAATTTAAAAAATCGAACAATCAAAACATCAACAAATCGAAAAATGTAAGATTTAAAGTCACAATATTTTGAAAAATCGAATAAGTAAAAAATCCAAAAAAACAGAAAGTTGAAAAATTTAAAAATTAAAAATCGAAATACATATTCAAAAATCTCAAAATTGAAAAATCCCGAAATAAACATTGAACATTTGAGAAATGGAAAAATTGAGAAATCGAGATATCGGAAAATCCAAAAATTTAGAAATGCCAAAAATTGAGAAATTGAAAAATGGAAAAATTTAAATACATAAAAAAATTTAGAAACGCCAAAAATTGAAAAATCGAAAAATCCAAAATTTAGAAACGCCAAAAATTGAGAATTTGAATTTCCAAAACTGAAACGCTCAAAAATTGGAAAATCAAAAAATCGAAAACATGAATTATCGAAAAACTGAGAAATCGGGAAATCGAAATCAAAAAATTGAAAAATCGCGAAATCGAAACATCTAAAGATGAGAAGTCGAAAGATCGACAAATTGAGAAATGGAAGTGGCTAAAAATCGAAAAATTGGAAAATTTGAAATTTAAAAAGCCGATAAACCGAAAAAGTGAAAAATCGAAACATTGAAAAACTGAAAAATTAATTCCTAAAAATCTAAAAACGAGACGGCAAAAAATCGAAAGAAAACCGTTAAATCAAAAATTGAAAAATCGGAATATCGAAAACCTGAAGAATTAATTCCGAACAATTGAGAAATCGAAACAATAAAGTGGAAAATCTGAAATTTAAAAATTCTAAACATTGAAAATTTAAAAAAAATCGAGCAATCAAAACTTCAACAAATCGAAAAATTAAAAAACTGAAAAATCGAAAAATGTAACATTTAAAAAGGCGCAACATTTTGAAAATCAAATAAGTAAAAAATCCAAAAAGACAAAGTCGAAAAGTCTAAAAATTTAAAAATCGAAATTTTGTAGAATCCCAAAATTGGAAAATCCCAGAACTTCAACAGAGAGAAATCGAAAAATTGAGAAATCTAAAAATCCAAAACTTTAGAAACGTCAAAAATTGAAGAACTGAAAAATTGAAAAATTGGAAACTCGAATAATCGAAAAACTGAGAAATCGAGAAATGGATATCGAAAAATTGACATATCGAAATAGCTAAAGATCGAAAAATGGGAAAATTCATATTGAAAAATTTAAGCTTAAAAAATCCGATAGATCGAAATATCAAAAAACTGAAAAATTAATTCCGAAAAATTAAAAATTCAAAAAATTGAAAATTTTAAAAATCCAGCAATCTAAACATCAACAAATCGAAAAATCAAAAAACTGAAAAATCGAAAAATTTAAGATTTAAAAAGTCGCAATATTTTGAAAAATCGAAAAATCCAAAAAAAAAAAGTCTAAAAATCTAAAAATTTAAAAATCAATCAAATTCATATTGAAAAATCCCAATATTGAAAAATCCCAAAACTTCAAAATTGAGAAATTGAGAAATCAAAAAGACGAAAAATCGAAAAGTCGAAAAATTAAAAAATCGGTTAATCCATAAATTGAGAAATCGAAAAATCCAAAAATTTAGAAGCGCTAAAAATTAAGAAAAGTAAAAATCGAAAAATTTAAATACATAAAAAAAATTAGGAAGGCCAGAAATTGGGAAATAGAAAAATCAAAAAATTTAGAAACATCAAAAATAGAAAAATTGAAATATCAAAAAATTAGAAATTTGAATAATCGAAAAACTGAGAAATCGAGAAATGGAAATCGAAAAATTGAGATATCGAAATAGCGAAAGATCGAAAAATGGGAAAATTCAAAATTGAAAAATTTAAACTCAAAAAACCCGATAAATCTAATATAAAAAAAATATAAAGTTCTTTTATATGTTATTTTGTATTTTCTATAATTGGGTTATGTACCTGTAGAAAATAAATTATTATTATTATCATTATTATTATTATAAATCGAAATATCGAAAAACTGAAAAATTAATTCGGAAAAATTGAAAATTCGAATAATTGAAAATTTAAAATATCGAACAATCAAAACATCAACAAATCGAAAAATCAAAAAACTGAAAAATCGAAAAATGTAACATTTCGAAATATTGAGAAATATAAAAATCCGAAAATTAAAAAATCGATTAATCGAGAAAATGAGAAAGCGAAAAATCCAAAAATTTAGAAACGTCAAAAATTAAAGAATTGAAAAATTGGAAACTCGAATAATGGAAAAATTGCGAAATCGAGAAAAGGAAATCGAAAAATTGAGATATCGAAATAGCTGAAGATCGAAAAATGGGAAAATTCAAAATTGAAAAATTTAAGTTTAAAAAACTCGATAAATCGAAATATCGAAAAACTGCAAAATTAATTCCGAAAAATTGAAAAATCGAAAAATCTAAAAACGCGATGGCAAAAAATCGAAAGATTGAAAAATCGAATAACAAAAAAGTGAAAAATCTAAAATTAAAAATTCGAAAAATTGAAAATTTAAAAAATGTGAGATTTAAAAAAATCGCAATATTTTGAAAAATCGAATAGGTAAAAAATCCAAAAAAAACAGAAAGTCGAAAAATCTAAAAATTTAAAAATCGAAATACATATTGAAAAATCCTGAAAGTTAAACATTGAAAATCTGAGAAATCGAGGAATTGAGAAATTGAGAAATCGGAAAGACCAAAAATTGAGAAGTGGAAAAATTAAAAAATCGATCAATCGAGCAACTGAGAAATCGAAAAATCCAAAAATTTAGAAACGCCAAAAATTGAGAAATCCAAAAATCGAAAAGATGAGTTATCGAGAAACTGAGAAATCGAAAAATCGAAGTCGAAAAAATGAGAAATGGAAGTGGCCAAAAATCGAAAAATGGGAAAATTCAAAAATGAAAAATTTCAAATAAAAAAAAAACGATAAACCGAAGAAGTGAAAAATCGAAACATCGAAAAACTGAAAAATTAATTCCGAAAAATTGAAAAACCGGAGGATCTAAAAACGAGAAGGCAAAAAATCGAAATATTGAGAAATCGAAACAATAAAAAAGTGAAAAATCTAACATTTAAAAATCCGAAAAATTGAAAATTTTAAAAATCGAGCAATCAAAACATTAACAAATCGAAAAATCAAAAAACTGAAAAATCGAAAAATGTAACATTTAAAAAGTCGCAATATTTTGAAAAATCGAATAAGTAAAAAATCAAAACTGTCGAAAAAATGAAAAATTTTAAAGTATTTAAAAGTCCCAAAATGGAAATAAATAGAAGATAAATCGATGACAATTTTTACATATTTCACTAAGTGAAGTTGGTAAGAAAACACCTCTTCCCATTTAAAATCCGGTATAAGTCCAACTTTCATGCATTTGCCTACAACCAAAATGAAAAGGCATTTACCCTAAAATCCGCTCTTTAAGTCATTAAGAAGAAAATTCAGGCTTGAATTTGTTTAAATTACGATCGTTTAGCTGATCACGTAGACCTCCCATGGGACCATTACGGTTTCGAACAAACTTTCGGTGGAAATCCCGTAGTGGCCTTATTATTTAATGGAAATTAGAAAATTCGATGGCGAAAATTTCCAAATTACCTATTCATGTTTATTACATTTCCTATGGACGTCCCTCATTTATAAAGTGGGTTGTTTATCGTACCTTCTTAATAATATACTCGAACAATGAAGCCATAATAAAGTGTCATTTTGAATACGGAAAATTGCTACCTAGAGTTATTAATATTACACTTACGTGTTAAGTATATTTCCGTGTTCGTTCCGATAATGGTGCATTTGCGTGTTTTATTAAATTGACAAAAGTTGGCAGAAATGGTCGTGTAGTTTATGGACACAATTACGAACAATACAAAATTATCGTTGTTTCTTTGAAGGAATCACTTATTATTATGGAAAATGGGTGTCATTAGATGAAACGAAACCGACAACAATTGAAGTAAAAAAATGCATACCCGCACGTACTACGTATCAGTATTTAAAATTTGGCTGTAAAAAGTGCCGTAAAAATTAATTATACCTATTTCCTGTGAAACTCGTTCCACTTGACTTGACAAAAAGTGGCAAATCGTGAAATAAATTTAGGGTCGTTAAATTTTTGATTAATTGTCGATTGAAACTGGTAATTTTTATTTTTCAGTACCGCATCTTATTAAACGGATTTGGTTACGCTCTCTTTGGGGTACCTTCGGGCGATTTGGAGACGACGTGGAGAGATGAAATAGCAACTGTTCCGGGTGGTCGATCTCCGCTTCTGGAGCGCTCGATTCCCACAGTGGCAGCATCAACGGTACTTGGAATAACCATTTTTCTTTGTATGATTGCGTAATTGTGATGATTACAGGAAGCCGCTCTTCTATCCCGAGACATATGCGTTAGGAGATTTTCAAAAATTAGACTTTTTACCGCTGGGAGGATTTTGCACATCGTGAGCAGGAAAAAGACCAAAGCCGAAAGGTACCTTCACAGTTTTTTTTGCATGTGGTGTTGAATAAATTTTCGTTGCAGGAAAGCCGGCACTGGAGGACCCACGTTTGAAATGCGATGGGCCACGGCTGAAGATTTCATGGAGCTTAAGGTTATGCCAAAGATGTTGCTAGACCACCTGCCCGACAACGTGTATAAAACGCTAGACACTATTCTTACGGAACAAAGAGATGAAAGTAGTCAGATCGTTTAAGTGGAAGATACGCTAAGTTGTTGAGTTATTTTTGTTATTATTGTAGTTCTTTAGTAGGTGAAAATCTCTCTAAACATTCCCAGCAATGAACACTGTTTTGTTCTAGTAGCGAATATTTCTGTATTTATAATATATTTTTTATATTATGAACCTTATTGTAAATAAATCAACATATTTCCTTATTGGTTTAATCCGTTACCTTGTCGAAAAAAATAAGTCGATAAAAGCCGGCGTTATGATGATAAAGTACGTGGTTTTCAAGGCGAGAATCTTTAAACGGTGGGAGCCTGTTGATGATGTATGTATTTTTAAAGAGGTAGGTTGGTTCCAGTTTTCGAACTGGCTTCTACGGTACTACTTAGGGATCCCAGTTTAATAACATGTTTGAAACAATTTTCAATAATGAAAATTTTGACCTTTTTTCAACCACTTTTGAAAATTACTTAAAAGAGATTTTTTCGTACAATTCGACTCCTAGAAATTTTTAACGTAAACATACTTACCATTTTTTCAAAATTGCCCAACAAAATTTGGCAATTTTCAAAATTTTTGAAAAAAAAAGGATTTTAATCCGAATGCTTCTAACATGTAACTCCAGGACCATAAACACGCTGTATCTTTCGAATTAGTACGTCGAATTCTGGGTGCTAGAATTTTTAGTAGATTTATTGTCAATTTTTTCAATATTTTTTTTTGGCTATTTTCGATCCCAAATTTTTGGTGGATTTTTTAACAATTTTTTTTTAATTCAATTTAACAAAATTTGGCAATTTTTTAAATTTTTCAAAAAAAAAAGAGGTTTCGACGCAAATATTTCTAAAATATATTGCTCCGAGACTATACATTTTTCGCAAGTACATACGTCGAATTCTGTTTCAGAATTTTTGTAGATTTTTTGTCATTTAAAAAAATTTTTTTTGGCTGTCTTCGATCCCACAATTTTTTGTGGATCTTTTGACAATTTTTTGTAAAATTTAATTTTTCACTAAAGAAAATTTTCACCTTTTTTGACCACCTTCGAAAATTACCGAACGAGATTTTTTTGTAGATTTCGACCACTAGAAGTTATTTTTGACCTAATTTCTGCCAAAATTCCAACAAAATATAACAATTTTTAGAATTTTTGGAAAAAAAATGGGTCTCAACCCCAATATTTCTAAAATGTTGCTCCGGAATATAAACACGCTATATTTTTCCAATCAATACGTCGAATTGTATGTCCTGGATTTGACAATTTTTTTCAAAAAATCAATTTTTCAGTAATGGAAATTTTGACCTTTTTTCGACCTCTTTCGAAAATTACTTAGAGATTTTTTTGTAGATTGGGAGCAGCAGAAGTTATTTTATTTGTCCTAATTTTTACGAAAATTTCAAGAAAATATGACAATTTTTAAAATTTTTGAAAAAAAATGGGTTTCAACTCGAATATTTCGAAAATCTGGCTCCGATATCCTAAACAAGCTATATTTTTCGAATTAGTACCTCGAATTATATCTCCTAGAATTTTTGTAGATTTTTTGACAATTTTTCCAATGATCAATTTTTCAATAATGAAAATTTTTACCTTTTTTCGACCATTTCGAAAATTTCTAATAGATTTTTTTGTACATTACGACCTCGACAAACTTTTAACGTAAATACTCCTAACAGTTTTCCAGAATTGCCCAATATAATTTGGCAAATTTTTGAAAAAAAAATGGATTTTAAACCCAAATTTTACTAAAATGTTGGTCCGAAACCATAATTACGCCGTATCTTTCGATTTAGTACGTCGAACTCTATGTTCCAGAATTATTCGATAGATTTTTTGGCAATTTTCTCAGTAATTAAAAACATTTTTTTTTGGTCGTCTTCGATGCCACAATTGTTTGTGGATTTTTTTTTAAATTTAATTTTTCAATAATCAAAATTTTCCCCTTTTTTCGACCACCTCCGAAAATTACCGTGTTTATTATTATTATTTTGTAGATTTCGAGCAGCAGAAGTTATTTTTGACTTAATTTTTACCAAAATTGCAACAAAATTTGGCAATTTTTAGAAATTTTTGAAAAAAAATGGGTTTCAACCCGAATATTTCTAAAATATTACTCCGGAATCCTAAACACGCTATATTTTTCGAATCAGTACCTCGAATTCTATATCCTAGAATTGTTAGTGTATTTTTTGACAATTTTCTCAAAAAATCAATCTTCAATAATGAAAATTTTGATTTTTTTTAAATCATTTAAAAAATTACCCAAAAAGATTTTTTGTAGACTACGATCTTCAGAAGTTACTTTCGACCAAAATTACTGGAAAACCCTCAGAATTACACAACAAATTTGGCTATTTTTAGATTTAAAAAAAAAAAAATTGGTTTTCAGCACAAATATTCATAAAATCGTGCTCCGAGACCATAAACACGCTATATTTTCCGAATGAATACGTTGAGGTCTATGTCCCAGATTTATTTGCGAATTTCTAGACAACTTTTTCAAAAGATGGATTTTTTAATAACGAAAATTTTGACCGTTTTCCGACAATCTTGGAAAATTTCCCAAAAAGATTTTTTGTAGATGACGATCTCCAGAAGTTACTTTTGACCTAATTTCTTTAAAAAGTCGTAGAATTGCAAAACAAATTTGGCCATTTTTAGATTTAAAAAAAAATTTGGCTTTCAGCAGAAATATTTATAAAATCGTGCTCCGGGGCCATAAAGACCATATATTTTTCCAATCAGTAAATTGAAATCTATGTCCCAGAATTTTTTGCGAATTTCTAGACAAGTTTTTCAAAAGATCGATTTTTCAATAATGAAAATTTTGACCGTTTTCCGACAATCTTGGAAAATTTCCCAAAAAGATTTTTTGTAGACCACGGTATCCAGAAGTTACTTTTGACCTAATTTCTTTAAAAAGTCCCAGAATTGCAAAACAAATTTGGCCATTTTTAGATTAAAAAAAAAAATTTGGCTTTCATCACAAATATTTTTCGAATCAGTACATTGAGACCTATGTTCCAGAATTTTTTGCGATTTTTTAGACGACTTTTTCAAAAGATCAATTTTTCAATAATGAAAATTTTGTCTTCTTTTCGACCACCTTCGAAAATTACCTAGATACTTTTTGTAGATTTCGACCTCCAGAAGTTACTCTTGGCCTCATTTGATCGAAAACTCCTGCCATTTTTCCAGAATTGTGCAATCAAATTTAACAGTTTTTAAAATTAATAAAAATTATTTGGGGTTTCAAAACAAATATTTATAAAACCAGCTCCGGGACCATAAACACGCAATATTTATCGAATCAGGTTGAGATCTATGTCCCAGAATTATTTGCATATTTTTTCAAAATTTTTCAATAATGAAAATTTTGTCATTTTTTCAAATTTTCCAAAAAGATTTTTTTATAGATTACGATCTGCAGAAGTTACTTTTAACCTAATTTCTTTAAAAAGTCCCAGAATTGCACAACAAATTTACCCATTTTTGGATTTTTTCAAAAATTTGGCTTTCAACATAAAAATTTATAAAATCGTACTATTATTTTTCGAGTCAGATTTGTGGATTACTTTTTCAAAAGTAAATTTTTCAGTTATGAAATTTTTTTTTTCGACCACCTTCGAAATTTACGTAGAGATTTTTTGTAGATTTCGACCTCCAGATGTTACTTTTTGCTTCATTTCTTCGAAAATCCCCAAAATTTCACACACAACAAATTTGGCCATTTTTAGATTTTTTGAAAAAAAATTGGCTTTCAAAAAAAATATTTATAAAACGTGCTCCGGGACCGTAAACACGCAATATTTTTCGAAACAGGACGTTGAGGTATATGTTCCAGAATTTTTTGCGGATTTTTAGACAACTTTTTCAAAAGATGAAAGAGGTTTCAACCTGAATATTTTTAAAATGTCCGAAGCCATAAATACGCTATATTTTTGAAGCTGACGTTGAGATTTATGTCCTAGATTTTTTTGCAGATTTTTAGACAACTTTTTCCTCGAAAACCCCCAGAGTTGCATAACAAATTTGGCCGTTTTAAGATTTTTTGAAAAAAAATTTGGCTTTTAACACAAATATTTTTCGAATCAGTACGTTGAGATCTACATCCCAAAATTTTTTGCGAATTTTTAGACAACTTTTTCAAAAGATCAATTGTTCTTAAATGAAAATTTTGACCATTTTTCGACCAGCTTCGAAAATTACCTAAAGAGATTTTTTGTAAATTTCAACCTGCAGAAGTTGCTTTTGGCCCCAATTGAACGAAAACTCCTACTATTTTTCCAGAATTGTTCAATCAAATTTAACGGTTTATAAAATTTTTGAAATATATTTGGGTTTCAAAACAAATATTTATAAAACCAGCTCCGGGACCATAAACACGCAATATTTATCGAATCAGTACGTTTAGATCTATGTCCCAGAATTTTTTGCTGATATTTAGACAACTTTTCAAAAGATCAATTTTTCAATAATGAAAATTTTAGCCTTTTTTCGACCACCTTCGAAAATTACCTAAAGAGATTTTTTGTAAATTTCAACCTCCAGAAGTTACTTTTGGCCTCATTTCATCAAAAACTGCTACTTTTCTAGAATTGTGCAATCAAATTTGGCAATTTTTAAAATTTTAGAAAAAAAGGGGGGTTACATCCTGAGTATTTTTAAAATGGTGGTCCGGGGTCATAAACACGCTGTATTTTTCGAACCGTTACATCCAGATCCCCTAGAACTGTTTGTAGATTGTTAGACAACTTTATCAAAAGATCATTTTTTCAATAATGAAAATTTTAACCTTTTTTCGACATTCGAAAATTACCTGAAGAGATTTTTGTGTAAATTTCGACCTCCATAAGTTATTTTTCGCCTATTTTCTACGAAAACTACTATTTTTCCAGAATCGGCTATTTAAATCAGCCATTTTTAGGATTAAAAAAAAAAGATCTTCAAACCGAATATTTTTAAAATCTTGTTGCGCAAAAATCTACATATAAGATTAAATTAAATTCTTATCAACAATTGTTTTCATGTTAGCTTTAGTGAGATCATTATTTAAAAAAAAATCAGACACCAAAATGAAGACGCAGAAGAATTAGAAATAACAAATGAGAGGGAACAATAAAGAGAGGAACAAGAAGAGATAAGAAGAAATTAGAACGAGATATTTAGGAAGAACGAAAGAATATTTGCATTTTTTATTTAAAACAGTTGTTTAATAATTGTGTATTTTGTTTGTGTTACGTTAATTTGTGTTTTTGAATGAAATTGCCAAGAATTATCACCACAAATGTAGCAAGCGTATTTTAAATGTCAGAGATTTTGTTTATGTACAATTAATGTAATCAGCGACATTTACTTAATTTTTGCGGATGAAGGTAGAACGCATTTTTCGCACGAGTTGACATTTCAGTGATTTTAAAAACACACCAATTCCTCTATTTGACTTGATTTTCAGTCATAAAAATCAAATATTGTTAGCGAAAAGTTTGCTTGTCGCCCCCAGTTGAAACCGCATGTTACGCCACTGCCCCGGCACACATTTTCTGTTGACGAGCGGTAAACTCAAAAGAATCTCTCCTATAAAGCAATAAAGCATAAATTCTATTCTCGACCCGAAAAATTGACTCTATTCCAGCGCTTTATTAATAGATTCTAAAAAAAAGCAAAAAAGTTCAACAACTTTGCGGGAGGCTAGAGATGGGCGGATGGCCACACACTTCGCCTCTCGCCTTCCGAACAAATAAACACCAACCCAATAAAAAACCTCCCCGCTGCGTTACCACCAACAACACCAAATCCCGCGCCCCCTTAGCGAACTTCGCCCCATTTCCCAGAAAATCACCCATGTTCCAGCCGCCTGAATCACGTGCCAATCTCGCCACGCACGCGTCAAATTTGACATTTGGTCCTAGGTGTTTTGGTGAATGAAATTTGTTTATGAAAGGCTTCAAACCGGGGGCCTGAGTGTTGTTTTGTAGTGAAATCGTCGTGTCCGCGAAATTTACAGTTATGGTTGTGTGAGAAAAGTTTTTGAGTCGCTGACAAGCTCGCACAATCGTCGTTCCCATGCTGGAAGTAAGTGGGGTTTGCTTGGGTTGGAAGTGTTACTAGTCCACAGATAAGCGAAATATTCCGATTATAAATCTAAACGTTATCTAATAATAACACTATGCCGCTCAACTCAAACAGTGATAACTTAACCTCATTTTGCAGGCCGTGTAAAATGGTGGTGAAGATGCAGATGAAACGAAACGTGCGAATTTTGTTAGTGGGTGATCGAAGTGTCGGGAAAACGTCTCTGATTTTGTCGTTGGTGAGCGAAGAGTTCCCGGAAAATGTGCCTAGTAAAGCGGAGGAAATTACGATCCCGGCGGATGTCACTCCGGAGCAAGTCCCCACGAATATCGTCGACTTTTCGGCGGCGGAACAAAGCGATGAAAATTTAAATGAACAGATTAAGAAGGCCAATGTTATTTGTGTGGTGTATGCAGTGGATGATGATGATAGCATTGATAGGATATCGTCCCATTGGTTGCCCCTAATCAGACTAAATCACCCGGATAAACCGTGTCCTGTGGTCCTTGTAGGAAACAAAATCGATTTGGTTGATTATTCCACGATTGACGTGAGTTTTTAACGCGTGGGTTAATCACACTGTCAATTTTTATTGTAGGGGGTTTTTCCAATTATGGACGAGTTTTCAGAAATTGAAACCTGTATAGAGTGTTCCGCCAAAACCCTTAAAAATATCTCAGAAATGTTTTACTACGCACAAAAGGCCGTGCTTCATCCAACGCCCCCCATCTACTCTGTAGAGAAAGCTGATGTAAGTTGAGCTACAAAGTCCAACTTCATTCTAATTTTGATTATAGTTGACAGAAGGATGTAAAAATGCCCTAATACGGATTTTTAAAATATGTGACATTGATTGTGATGGTCTTCTTAATGATATAGAATTAAATAACTTTCAAAGTCGGTGTTTTAACGCACCTTTGCAGCCACAAGTCCTAGATGACGTTAAATCTGTCCTAAGAAAAAATATCGATGATGGAGTCAGCCATAACTGCGTTACTTTGAAAGGTTTCCTGTATTTACATAGTCTTTTTATACAAAGAGGACGCAACGAAACAACCTGGACGGTTCTACGGAAATTTGGATACAATGACAGCCTAAACATGAGCAAGGATTTCCTTTTTCCTAAGTAAGTCTACAGGTTTTTTTACTATCATACCGGGTGTTATTTTAGCAATTACTAGCCCCTCCCACCCACCCTCTTTTTTCGTACAGGGGATCTCATTTGCCAAACTCACTCTTATCTTAGCAGGTACTAGCCCCGCCCACCCGCCCTCTATTGTTTTAGCGCGATCTCATTTGACAAAATCAGTCTTATCTTAGCAGGAACTAGCCCCGCCCACCCACTTATACTTATACTTTGCCTTGTTTTCCTAATGCATATAGGATTCTTTGAACAACACGATGCTCAAAATCATGTTTTTAATTTCTTGTAAAGAAATCAATATTTTGCAGTTAAGCTTGGTTCACGGCGAATAAGAAAAATAATCACAATTGAGATAGGGGGGGTGGGCGGCCTTACATTTTGACTTTTTGTTTTAATATGTGTACACTTCTTTTCATAAGCAATTGCAAAATTCATATTTCCTTGCAATAATGGACCATTTTAACCATGTTTTAAGTTCCTTGTTGTGAAAATATGGCTGTGTATATTAAGAAAAAAAAGGCAAAATATAAGCCCCGCCCACCCGCCCTGTCTCAATTCTGATGATTATTTTTTATTCGTCGTAAGCCGAGGGGCGGAGATTAACTCCAAAATCGTTATTTCTCTAGGAGCAATTAAAAAAATATTTTTGAGTGTCGTGTTGTTCAAAGAATACTATTTATATTGAGAAAAGTAAAGCCAAAGATTAGACCCCGCCCATACCCGCCCTGATCTCAATTCACAATTGTGATGAATTTTTCATTCGTTGTCAGATCGAGGGGCGAGGTTTAATTGCAAGATTCATATTTGTTTAGACAAATTTATAATTTTAAACATGTTTTAAGTTTCTTGTTCTGAAAAGACGACTACGTATATTAAGAAAAAAGGCAAAATATAAGCCCCTCCCACCTGCCCTATCTCAATTCTGATGATTTTTTAATCTTGGAGAGCCAAAGGAGCGGAAATTAATTGCAAAATCCTTATTATTTCTCTAGAAGAAATTACCATGTAAAACATGTTTTTGAGTATCGTGTTATTCAAAGAACTCTATGTATATTAAGAATGCCCTGATGATCACAATAGTAATGAAGTTTTTATTCGTTGGTAGACCTAGGGGCGGAGCCTAATTGAAAAATCCATATTTTCTTACAAACATTTACCATTTTAAACGTGTTTTAATATTCAAAGAATAAAAAATATTACAATTGAGATGGGGTGGGTGGGCGGGGTTTAATATTTTGCCTGTTTTTCTTAATATACATATTATTTGAACAACACGATACTCAAAAACAAGTTTTTAATTTCTTGTAAGGAAATAAATATTTTGCAGTTAAGCTTAGCCCTCTTCTTCAATTTTTCGATTTCCAATTTATCACTTCTTAATTTTTTGTTCCTTCAGCTTTACGATATGCAACTTTTTGAGTTTTCCATTTTCCATTTTTTCGATTTTCCGACTTCTAGATTTTTCAATTTTTCGATGTCTAATTTCACGAGTTTTCCATTTTTAATTTTTCAATTTTAAGATGTTTCAATTTTTGAATTTTTCATTTTCTCATTTTTTTGTTTCTTCAAATTTTTATTTGTTGTTTTTCGAGTTTTTAAATATAAATTTTCCAATTTTTCAATTTTCCAGCTTCTGAATTTTTCAATTTGTAGATTTTTCAATTTTTCCATGTGAGTCTCTCGAGTTTTCAATTTTTAATTTTTCAACTTTTCGATTTGCAATTTTTAGTTTTGATTTTTTATTTTCTTCATTTTTACAATTATGTATTGAATTTTTCAATGTTGCCATTTGATCATTTTTTTGCTTTTTCAATTTTAATTTTTTCAGTTTCTCGTTGCTTCAATTTTTCGATTTGAGATTTTTTTATTTTTTATTTTTTCATTTCTTCAATTTTTCGATTTGCAATTTTTCAGTTCCTCATTTTTTTGTTCCTTCAACTTTACGATATGCAACTTTTTGAGTTTTCCTTTTTTCGTTTTTCATTTTTTCGATTTTCCTACTTTTGGATGTTTCAACGTCTAGATTTTGCAATTTTACGATTTGTGATTTCACGAGTTTTGCATTTTTAATTTTTCAATTTTAAGATGATTCAGTTTTTGAATTCTTCATTTTCTCATATTTTTTGTTTCTTTAAATTTTTCATTAATAGTTTTTCCAGTTTTAAGTTTCATTTTGATGTTTTATTTTATTTGTTTTTTCAAATTTTTGGTTTTTCAATGTTCTGATTTTATAATTTTTTGTATTGTTCAATTTTTCAGTTTTCAAGGTTTCAATTTTAGATTTGGTTCGTGGCGAATAAAAAAAATCATTACAATTGGGAAAGGGCGGGTGGGCGGGCTTACATTTTGCCTTTTCATTTCAATATGTACAGACTTCTTTTCACAATATGAAACTTAAAATATGTTTAAAATGGAAAATTTGTATAAGAAAATAATGATACTTGCAAAATCCATATCAAGATGGCTATGTATATTAAGAAAAAAAAGGCCAACTATAAGCCCCACCCACCCGCCCTATCTTAATTCTGATGATTCTTTTTTATTTCTCGTAAGCCGAGGGGCGGAGCCTACTTGCAAAATCGATACTTTCTTACAAAAATTTACCATTTTAAACATGTTTTACCTTTCTTGTTGTGAAAAGAAAAAATGGCAAAATTACAAGCCCCTCCCACCCACCCTCTCGTTTCTTAGGGGTTATGTCATCTGCCAAAATCAGTTTTTTACAAAAAAATGATCAAAATTTGGAAACATACGTTATAATAAAACAATCCAAGGAAAATATTGCGATAAATATCGTCTATCTCTTGCCGATTTTATGACAGATAATCTCCAAACTCACTTTGAAATTTAAGTGCACTTTGGATTATCATCATAAAATTTAAATAACAAAATTTTGGGTCATAAAATTGTTGGTTATGCAAATTCACGACAATCAGCCCAGTAGTTCTTCTTCTCCAGGTTTGTTCTTCATACTTTTAACTATTACGGAAGTTTAAGTTGATGTTTTCAGTTGCATTAACGTAATATTGACGTTATTTTCGTATATCACTCTCAAGTGGTTCACAATTTGACCTGTCTCAATTCTGATGATATTTTTTATTCGTTGTAAGCCAAGGAGGCGGAGCTTAACTGCCAAATCCTTGTCTACCAGAAATTAAAAATATGTTTTTGAGTGTCGTGTTGTTCAAAAAATACTATGTATATTTAGAAAAGTAAAGCCAAAGATTTGTCATTCGTTGTCAGATCCAGGAGCGGGACTTTTTTAAACATGTTTCTTGTACTGAAAAGACGACTAAGTATATTAAGAAAAAAAGGAAAAATATAAGCCCCGCCCACCCACCCTCTCTCAATTGTGATGATTTTTTTTTAATCGCCGAGAGCCAAAGGGACGGAATTTAATTGCGAAATCCTTATTGTTTCTCTACAAGAAATTGTCAAGTAAGACATGTTTTTGACTATCTTACCTGCCCTGATTTAAATAATAATGAAGTTTTAATTCGTTGGCAGACCTAGGGGCGGAGCTTAATTGCAAAATCCATATTTCCTTACAAAAAATTACCATTTTAAATGTGTTTTAAGTTTTTAAGAATAAAAAAATCATCACAATTGAGATCGGGTGGGTGGGTGGGGTTTATACTTTGCCTTTTTTTCTTAGTATACTTAATATTCTTTGGACAACACGATACTCAAAAAGATGTTTTTAATTTCTTGTAATGAAATAAGTATTTTGCAGTTAAGCTCCGCCCCCTTTTGGTTCACGAATAAAAAAATCATCACAATTGGGATAGGGCGGGTGGGCGGGCTTACGTTTTGGCTTTTCGTTTTAATATATGTAGACTTTTTTGACAACATGAAACAAAATATGTGCCCCACCCACCCACCCTATCTCAATTCTGATGATTTTTTTTATTTGTCGTAAGCCGAGGGGCGGAGCCTACTTGCAAAATCGATACTTTCCAACAAAAATTTACCATTTTAAACATGTTTTACCTTTTTTGTTGTGAAAAGAAAAAATGGCAAAATTACAAGCCCCTCCCACCCACCCTCTTTCTTCGTACAAGGGATCTCATTTGCCAAAACTAGTCTTATCTTAGCAGGAACTAGCCCCGCCCACCCACCCTCTCTTTTCTTAGGGGTTATGTCATCTGCCAACATCAGTTTTTTACAAAAAAATGATCAAAATTTGCAAATATACGTTATAATTAAACAAACCAAGGGAAATATTGCGATAAATATCGTCTATCTCTTGCCGACTTTATGACAGATAATCTCCAAATGCACTTTGAAATTTAAGTGCACTTAGGATTATCATCATAAAATTTAAATAACAAAATTTTGGGTCATAAAATTGTTGGTTATGCAAATTGACGACAATCAGCCCAGTAGTTTGGGAGATTACCATAAAATCGACACCCGATATAGAAATAAATAAATAATAAAACTATATTGTTTTAGTTTGAAAGTGCCGTCGGGCTGCACTACAGAACTGTCCCATAAAGGCCACCAATTCCTCACCCACTTGTTTGAAAGGTATGACAGAGATCGCGACCACGCTTTATCGCCCTCGGAGTACGACGACTTGTTTTCGACGTGTCCGACTCCCGCTTGGCCGCCCGATGTGAGTGCCATGGTACCGACCAACGAAAAGGGTTGGATCACATATCAGGGTTACATGTGTCAGTGGGCCCTAATGACCCTAGTGGACTTACCCCGCACTTTTGAGTATCTAGCGTACTTAGGTTACAACATTTATGAAAACGAAAGTCAAACAACGGCAGTACAAGGTAAACATAATTTCACGTGTGGAGACTGTCACTGATTGTTTTCAGTAACGAGGGAGAAGAAAATCGACTTGGCGAAGAAACAGTCGAGTCGGAACGTCTACCAGTGTCACGTGATTGGGCCCATGGGGGCGGGCAAGTCGAGTTTCTGCAGGAGCTTTATCCGGTCGCCGACGCAAGTGCGTATAATTGATTTTTTCGTGTGCGTTTTCCCTAATTTATTTTTTACGAATCAGCAAAAAGCTCCCCATTTGGAAAACACCGGCACGCCTACGTGTACAGTCAATGTGGTGCAGGTCTACGGCCAGGAAAAAATTATGGTGCTGCGTGATATCAACGTGAGAAACGTGTCTGATCCGTTATTGCCGCACGAAGTGCAGTGTGACGTGGCCTGTTTGGTTTACGACACCAATAATGCGAAATCTTTTGAATATATCGCACGTATATACATTGTGAGTGTTATCGGTTGTTTATTTTTATTGTTATTGTTACGGTTTGTTTGAAGAAATATTTCGCCGAGAGTAAAATTCCTGTTTTGATGGTCGCATGTAAGAGTGATTTGGATGAAGTCAAGCAAGATTATTTACTACAGCCTATCACGTTTTGTCAGAAGTACAAAATTTTACCGCCTCAAACTTTCACAGTCAAGGGACACCTGCGGAAAGATGTGTTCGTCAAGTTGGCTACGATGGCTGCTTTTCCGTAAGTATATCACCGAGCGAGAGCGAGTCAATAAAGTTTGATTAGTCGTTTTCAAGCGGCTTGGATTTTATTTTACAAACACAGGTTTGTTCTTCATAGTTTTAACTATTAATTACGGAAGTTTAAGTTGATGTTTTCAGTTGCATTAACGTAATATTGACGTTATTTTCATATATCACTCTCAAGTGGTTCAAAATTTGACACTCCACTTGTGAGGGAGTCTAAATATTCCATGTTTCTTATGATTGTAATCGGTACCCTTCTCTTACTGTACCACTAAGAGTATTCATTTTTCAATTCACACCTAAACCCTAAAATTTTTGAACGAATTTTTCCCCCAATTTCTTCACAATTCTTGTAGATTTTTTTATAATTTTCTGTATAGTTACCTAAAACAACAAATACTCATACATAGACGATACAAATTCACCTGATCACACTGTTTTCGATTGTGCAACTGACATTAAGTGCGATTTATAAACTTGCTGTTGACGTTGAGGATCAAAGTATTACAACAATTTACCATTTTAGACATGTTTTAAGTTTCTTGTTGCCGAAATAAGTCTACACATGTTAAGAAAAACAGGCAAAAAATAAATAATAGTTTAAAAAACTAAAAAAACACGCTTTTATTGCTAATCGAACTAAAAGCTAGAAAATAATTTTTAATGACAGAGTTTAATATTACAGTAGTAGAAGATCAAACAATCAATCATAATAAATCACCTCAAATTAAAATTATAATAAAATTTAAGTTATTAACAGAATAATTCAATTCAGAGTAAAAAGCGTGGGGTGCTTGATATTTTAAATATTACAATCATTCTATTGGCAACTATCTATGAGAGGATAGTTATGAACCGCAGTAAAATGCACCCCACGCTTTTTACTCTGAATTGAATTATTCTGTTAATAACTTAAATTTTATTATAATTTTAATTTGAGGTGATTTATTATGATTGATTGTTTGATCTTCTACTACTGTAATATTAAACTCTGTCATTAAAAATTATTTTCTAGCTTTTAGTTCGATTAGCAATAAAAGCGTGTTTTTTTAGTTTTTTAAACTATTATTTATTTTTCATTTTTTAGTCTGCGACAAATTCATAAATTGGGGAATTAATTAGCATGCGCAGATCGCGCGCTAGCTTTATCTCTTTTACTCCACTACACAGGATCCATAAAAGAATTTATAAATCCTGGCGGTCCTAATAAGGATAATGGGAAACTGTTATCAAATTATTGCATTGTCATCGATCCTTGAGACGTGTGCAAAGTTTCAAGATGATCAGACTTTTAGAAACCGACGAAAATTAAGCCCAAAGATTCCGTTACATCCATAAAAGAATTTATAAATCCTGGCGGTCCTAATAAGGATAATGGGAAACTGTTATCAAATTATTGCATTGTCATCGATCCTTGAGACGTGTGCAAAGTTTCAAGATGATCAGACTTTTAGAAACCGATGAAAATTAAGCTCAAAGATTCCGTTACATACATACATACAACCCAAGCTAATAAAAGCGTGATAATAAGCCCCACCCACCCACCCTGTCTCAATTGTGATGATTTTTGTTATTCGTCGAGAGCCAAAGGGGCGGAATTTAATTGCGAAATCCTTATTATTTCTCTACAAGAAATTGCCAAGTAAGACACGTTTTTGACTATCTTACCTGCCCTGATCTAAATAGTAATGAAGTTTTAATTCATTGGCAGACCTAGGGGCGGAGCTTAATTGCAAAATCCATATTTCCTTACAAAAATTTACCATTTTAAATGTGTTTTAAGTTTCTAAGAATAAAAAAATCATCACAATTGAGATAGGGTGGGTGGGCGGGCTTACATTTTGCCTTTTTGTTTTAATATATGTAAACTTTACACAACATGAAACAAAATATATGCCCCACCCACCCACCCTGTCTCAATTCTGATGATTTTTTTTAATTCGTCGTAAGCCGAGGGGCGGAGCTTAACTGCAAAATCCTTATTTCTCTAAGAGCAATTAAAAACATGTTTTTGTTGTTCGTGTTATTCAAAGCACACTGTGTATATTAAGAAAAATAAAGCCAAAGATTAGGCCCCACCCATACCTGCCTTGATTAAATAGAAATGAAGTTTTCATTCGTTGCCAGACCTAGGGGAGGAGCCTAATTGCAAAATCCATATTTCTTCACAAAAATTTACCATTTTAAAAAAATCATCACAATTGAGATGGGGTGGGTGGGGGGGGGGTTTAATATTTTGCATGTTTTTTCTTAATATACATAGTATTCTTTGAACAACACGATACTCAAAAACAAGTTTTTAATTTCTTGTAAAGAAATTAGTATTTTGCAGTTAAGCTCCGCCCTCTTGGTTCGCGGCGAATCAAAAAAAACCTTCACTATTGAAACGGGGCGGGTGGGCGGGCTTACATCTTGTCTTTTTGTTTTAATATGTGTACACTTCTTGTCATAACATGAAACTTAAAATATGTTTAAAATAGAAAATTTGTATAAGGAAATAACGATTTTGCAATTAGGCTCCGGCCCAAAATTGCAAAATCCATATTTCCTTGCAAAAATGGACCATTTTAAATGTTTTCAGTTTCTAAGAATAAAAAAATTATCACAATTGAGATCGGGTGGGTGGGTGGGGTTTATATTTTGCCGTTTTTTCTTAACATAGTTAATATTCTTTGGACAATACGATACTGAAAAAGATGTTTTTAATTCCTTGTAATAAAATAAGTATTTTGCAGTTAAGTTGGTTCACGGCGAATAAAAAAATCACCACAATTGAGATAGGGCGGGTGGGCGGGCTTAGGTTTTACCTGTTTGTTTTAATATAATGTAGACTTTTTTCACAACATGAATCAAAATTATATGCCCCACCCACCCACTGATGATTTTTTTTAATTTGTCGTAAGCCGAGGGGCGGAGCTTAACTGCAAAATCCTTATTTCTCTAGGAGCAATTAAAAACATGTTTTTTTTTGTTCGTGTTATTCAAAGCATACTGTGTGTATTGAGAAAAATACAGCCTCACCCATACCTGCCCTGATGAAATAGTAATGAAGTTTTCATTCGTTGTCAGACCTAGGGGAGGAGCCTAATTGCAAAATCCATATTTCCTTACAAAAATGTACCATTTTAAACGTGTTTTAAGTTTCTGAATAAAAAAAGAATCATTACAATTGAGATTGGGTGGGTGGGTGGGGTTTATATTTTGCCATTTTTTCTTAAAATACATATTATTTGAACAACACGATACTCAAAAACATGTTTTTAATATCTTGTAAAGAAATCAATATTTTGCAGTTAAGCTCCGCCCTTTTGGTACACGGCGAATAAGAAAAATCATCACAATTGAGATAGGGCGGGTGGGCGGGCTTATATTTTGTTTTTTTGTTTTAATATGTGTACATTTCTTTTCATAACATGAAACTTAAAGTATGTTTAAAATATAAAATTTGTATAAGGAAATAACGATTTTGCAAATAGGCTCCGGCCCATAATTGCAAAATCCTTATTTCCTTACAAAAATTTACCATTTTAAACGTGTTTTAAATTTCTAAGAATAAAAGAAAATCATCACAATTGAGATAGGGGGGGTGGGTGGGGTTTATATTTTGCCTTTTTTTCTTAATATACTTAATATTCCTTGAACAACACGATATTCAAAAAGGTGTTTTTGAGTATCGTGTATTTCTTGTAATGAAACAAGTATTTTGCAGTTAAGCTCCGCCCCCTTGGTTCACGGCGAACAAAAAAATCATCACAATTGAGATAGGGCGGGTGGGCGGGCTTACGTTTTACCTTTTTGTTTTAATATATGTAGACTTTTTTCACAACATGAAACAAAATATCTGCCCCACCCGCCCGCCTTGTCTCAATTCTGATTATTTTTTTTATTCGTCGTAAGCCGAGGGGCGCAGCTTAACTGAAAAATCTTTATTTCTCTAGGAGCAATTAAAAACATGTTTTTGTTGTTCGTGTTATTCAAAGCATACTGTATATATTAAGAAAAATAAAGCCAAAGATTAGGCTCCACCCATACCTGCCCTGATTCAATAGTAATGAAATTTTCATTCGTTGCCAGGCCTAGGGGAGGAGCCTAATTGCAAAATCCATATTTCGTTACAAAAATTTACCATTTTAAACGTGTTTTAAGTTTCTGAATAAAAAAAAATCATTACAATTGAGATGGGGTGGGTGGGCGGGGTTTATACTTTGCCTTTTTTTCTTAATATACTTAATATTCTTTGAACAACACGATACTCAAAAACATGTTTTTAATTTCTTGTAAAGAAATCAATATTTTGCAGTTAAGCTCCGCCTCTTTGGTACACGGAATAAGAAAAATCATCACAATTGAGATAGGGCGAGTGGGCGGGTAGTAGACTAGGTACAATAACTACATTTTGCATTTTTTTCTTAATATGTGTAGTCTTCTTTTCACGACAAGAAAGGTAAAGTATGTTTAAAATGATAAATTTTTGTAGGAAGGTTTCGATTTTGCAGTTAAGCTCCGCCCTCTTGGTTCACGGCGAATAAAAAAAATCCTCATAATTGCGATAGGGCGGGTGGGCGGGCTTACGTTTTGCCTTTTTGTTTAAATATGTGTACACTTCTTGTCATAACATGAAACTTGAAATATGTTTAAAATGGAAAATTTGTATAAGGAAAAATCGATTTCACTCCTCCGCCCCATAATTACAAAATCCATATTTCGTTGCAAAGATGTACAATTTTAATCATGTTTTAAGTTTCTTGTTGTGAAAAGATGGCTGTGTATATTAAGAAAAAAAAAGGCAAAATATAAGCCCCACCCACCCGCCCTATCGCAATTCTGATGATTTGTTTTTATTCGTGGTAGGTCGAGGGGCGGAGCTTAACTGCAAAATCGTTATTTCTCTAGGAGCAATTAAAAACATGTTTTTAGGGTCGTGTTGTTCAAAGAATACTATGTCTATTAAGAAAAATAAAGTCAAAGATTAGGCCCCGCCTATACCCGCCCCGATCTCAATTCACAAGTGTGATGAATTTTTCATTCGTTGTCAGATCGAGGGGCGAGATTTAATTGGAAGATCCATATTTGTCTAGACAAATTTCTATTTTAAACATGTTTTAAGTTTCTTGTTCTGAAAAGACGACTGCGTATATTAAGAAAAGGGAAAATATAAACCCCGCCCACCCTCTCTATCTCAATTCTGATGATTTTTTTAATCTTGTAGAGCCAAAGAAGCGGAATTTAATTATTGCAAAATCCTTATTATTTCTCTAAAAGAATTTCCGATGTAAGACATGTTCTTGGGCAACTTTTTATTCAAAGAATACTATGTAAATATATTAAGAAAAAATTAAAGGCACACATTAAGCCCCACCCATACTGCCCAGATCTGAATAGGAAGTTTTCCTTTGTTTCCAGACCTAGGGGCGGAGCCTAATTGAAAAACCCACATTTCCTTACAAAAATGTACTATTTTAAACGTGTTTTAAGTTTATAAGAATTTAAAAAATCATCACAATTGAGATGGGGTGGGTGGGCGGGGTTTAATATTTCGCCTGTTTTTACTTAATATACATAGTATTCTTCGAACAACACGATACTAAAAACAAATTTTTAATTTCTTGTAAGGAAATAAGCATTTTGCAGTTAAGCTCCGCCCCTCGGCTTACGACGAATAAAAAAAAAATCATCAGAATTGAGATAGGGTGGGTGGGTGGGGCATATATTTTGTTTCATGTTGTGAAAAAAGTCTACATATATTAAAACATAGAGGCAAAACGTAAGCCCGCCCATCCGCCCTATCTCAATTGTAATGATTTTTTTATTCGCCGTGAACGAAGGGGGCGGAGCTTAACTGCAAAATATTTACTTGATTACAAGAAATTAAAAACATCTTTTTAAGTATCGTGTTGTCCAAGGAATATTAAGTACCTATATTCCGAGAAAAAGACAAAATATAAAGATTCAGTTTAAATTTTAAACATTTTTACCTTTCTTGTCGTAAAAAGGAAACTACACATATTAAGAAAAAATGGCAAAATGTAGTTATAATACCTAATCTAACGTCAGCGGCAAGTTTATAAATCGACCTTTATTCGGGTTATCGTTAAATAGGGGACTTCCTCAAGGCTCCAACTTGATTCTTGAAACCCGTGCCGTTTTTGATTTTCGTGAATGACACACTATTTTAAATCAGTTCGATTTCCTGAAAAAACAGCGTTTGAAATATAAATAGGACACAAAAATGTTTCCATTTTATAGGTATGTACCTCACCATCTCAGATTTTATTCAATGGACAATATTTTGCACAATAACAAATATATTAAAATGTGATAAAAGCTGTCTTAAAAATATATTAAATAGTACGCACTCCATAGCAAACGGAATCATGTTTGTCTTTTCCAACAAAACGCATTTCGTTTACTGGGTGTTTAATACAAATGGAAATCCGCTTCCCCTAGATACTTGAAGAAAAAAAACTTAATAAAAAATAAGTAACTTTTCGTCAGGAAAGAATTAAGGCTAAAAAATAGAAAAACAAATTAAAGGTGAACATAAAATATCCCTGTAACCATTTAATATAAAACTCGGCTAGTGATCTGTGTGTTAGTTGCACTTGGTCGTACATGTAGTCACCTTTAGCCAAATAAACTAGAATTAAGAATTAATTAATTTCATACGAATTTCTTTTATTTTTTGCAGTCCTTTGCGTCGCATGGTTCATATGTTACTCTTGCGTCCACAACCATCCGAATGGTTTAATCAGTTTTACAGGTTGCTATACCGTTTACACATTTTAAGAATGTTTTAATTTTTTACTAATATCGGCAACCGTTGTGATACTAATATTATAAAACAAATGTCGTTGTTAACTGTTGTGCTAGTTGTGTAGAATTGACGTTTTAATGAAATTTCTTGGCATGGCGCTTGTACTTCACTTAGCTTATTGCATGTTTGTCTCGATTTTAGTAGGATTTAATAATGACTTTGTTTTTCCTAGGAACTTGAGAGAATTTGGAATTATTCCCACAGACACCAGGACGTGGTGGAAGGCGGGGTTAAGTTTAGCTGCCGTCACTGCGGTCGGTATTATTGTGGCTAAAGTCTTACACAGTTCGGAAAAAGTCAGATAGTTTGAGTGTAGAAAATAATTTTACTGTAACAAATAAAAATCACTATAAATATCATAATCAGACATTTTATTCTTTGTAGCAAAGTAATTTAGTTTACAGATAGCACTAACGGAGAAAATGTGTATAATTGCCCTAATTATTTAGTACAAATTTGTATAAATTGTGCAATCAAGCTAATTTTGTCATCAGTATTGTCGAACGTCATACTAAAATGCAGATAACGAAAAGACTGTATATACTTAAAATTGTATTTTTAGTAGAATAGGTGTTTTATCAAACTGTTTATTCCCATAAGGTTTTGTGCAATTGTACTTTTGTTGATTGACCTCTGTAATAACACTCTTTGTTTTAAATAAACCGTGCAGGCTTCCAGTTTACCGTCATTACAACACAACTTTCATTTATAACACCACACATTTAACAACAAACCCGAAAACGCGCTTGGTGTTTAGGTTAAAGTCTGAAGTAAAACAAATTTATTATAAAGTTTAACCTTTATTAAATAACTTTATCTTAGAAGAAGAATCCAAGGATTTTACCTCCTAGATGTTTCCTTCTGGCTTCCTCATGGTCCATAATACCACCACTTGTGGTCAATACAACATATCTAAACAAAAACAATTAATTCCCCTCATACTAACCACCCGAAACACTTACCCAAACTGCCGTGAAGGTAACAGGTTGTTAGTCCACTTTTCTATATGCGTAATTGGAACGTCGAATCTTGGCGAAATCACGCCACACTTATTTAAACGCCCGGTCAAATTCACAACAATCTTCCCGCTTCTGTGGTCATCGACTATTTCAAACTCACCAATGTAACCGTGCTTCATCATCACAGTTAAGAATTTAATAATTACTTTGGAGCACGGCCTGATGAGAACCTGTCTCTTGCCACGTTTTTCGGCATTGTTGATGGATTTGAGTGCATCACTCAGTACGTTCATTCGCACCATTTCTGCAAAAGAGAAAGTGAGGTTAGGTCTGTAAACAACGTGAAAAACAGGACTAAATATGACGGAATTGCGCGAAAATAGTTGGTTTTGAGGAAAGCGGCGAATGATTTTGGAAAATAGTCGAATTTTCATTCAAACTTTGGGGAAATAGGGTTCAACGTGAGACAACTGTCACTCGATTGTCAACAAACTCATTTTTAAATACTTACTCCAAAAATAGCGACAAAATGGATTGGGAAATATTAAACGAGTTGTGTGGAAGCTTTTGCGACAATATTCAAGAGTAGATGGTTTCAAAGAATATGGATTACCTGCGATTTATTATGTGTTTTCGGCGGAGAGCCTCTCTCACTCGTGAAACACACAGGAAAAGAAACAGGCAGCTGCTTTATCGACCGACGAGATAAGTTTCGCAGAGGCGCGAAATTTAAAACCGACTGTGCGAGAGGAGCGAATTTGTTTAAAAATTTATGCGTTCGGCATTAAATATTAATAAAGTTGAAGGTACATAATAAAGCAGCTGCAACTAATAATAAAAAAGTTATGGGAAGGAGGGATTTTACTGTTGCACATTAAACATTTCTTTGGTAGAAGTTTCATGTATGGTTAAATTTTTATCAGAGTTTTATAATAACTAAGAAATGAAATATTAAAAAAGAATAAAAGATAAAACCCTACAAAGGTTTTAAATGAATTATGGATGATGGATGTGTAACAAATACACTGAGACCGAAAACACTTTGGTGTAAAGTTGGCTGCAATTGAGAGACTAGGGTTGGTATAACTAGTTTCAAAAAGACGTTTTTAAATATCAGAATTCCGTTTGTTTCACATTTAAATCAAACAATCAGTTTGAAATAGTAAATGCTCTTGTTATTGTTTTTTTGCGATACTGTTTAAGAGTTACTAGGTGAAGAAAGACAGATTTTATCCAAGAACGTAAAATTCAGTAAATAAAATTACTATATTTCAGGTCAGTTGAATAAAAATTTTATTCATGTGGGATTGTGAGGATTCCGAAGGAGATAAGGAATGGGAATAGAATTAGGTCAGGTCACTTGAGACCCAGAGAAGGTTCCACTTTCTTAAAAAAAAAGACACTTGGGAACCCCGAGAAGGTTTGACAATATTAAAAAAAAACAGTTGGAATCCCTGAGAAGGTTTCACATTATTAGAAAAACCAGTTCAAATCCCTGAGAAGGTTTCAATTTAAAAAAAAAAGACACTTGGGGCCCCGAGAAGGTTTCATTTTCTAAAAAATACACTTGGGTCCCCTGAGAAGGTTTCACAATATTAAAAAAAAACAGTTGGGATCCCTGAGAAGGTTTCAACTTAAAAAAAAGACACTTGGGAACCCCGAGAAGGTTTCACATTATTATAAAAACCAGTTGGGATCCCTGAGAAGGTTCCAATTTAAAAAAAAAGGTACTTGGGGCCCCGAGAAGGTTTCATTTTCTAAAAAATAACTTGGGTCTCCTGAGAAGGTTTCACAATATTAAAAAAAACCAGTTGGGGTCCCTGAGAAGGTTACAACTTAAAAAAAAGACACTTGGGAACCCCTGAGAAGGTTTCACATTATTAGAAAAACCAGTTGAGATCCCTGAGAAGATTTCAATTAAAAAAAAAGACACTTTGGGCCCCGAGAAGGTTTCATTTTCTAAAAAATACACTTGGGTCCCATGAGAAGGTTTCACAATATTAAAAAAAGTCAGTTGGAGTCCCTGAGAAGGTTTCAACTTAAAAAAAAAGACACTTGGGAACCCCTGAGAAGGTTTCACATTATTATACAAACCAGTTGGGATCCCTGAGAAGATTCCAATTTAAAAAAAAAGGTACTTGAGGCCCCGAGAAGGTTTCATTTTCTAAAAAATAACTTAGGTCCCCTGAGAAGGTTTCACAATATTAAAAAAACCAGTTGGGGTCTCTGAGAAGGTTTCAACTTAAAAAAAAAGACACTTAGGGCCTCGAGAAGATTTCATTTTCTAAAAAATACACTTGGGTCTCCTGAGAAGGTTTCACAATATTAAAAAAAAAAACAGTAGGGGTCCCTGAGAAGGTTTCAAGTTAAGAGAAAAAGACACTTGGGAACCTCTGAGAAGGTTTCACATTATTAGAAAAACCAGTTGGGATCCCTGAGAAGGTTTCAATCTAAAAAAAAAAGCACTTGGGGCCTCGAGAAGATTTCATTTTCTAAAAAATACACTTGGGTCCCCTCAGAAGTTTTCACAATATTAAAAAAACCAGTTGGGGTCCCTGAGAAGGTTTCAACTTAAAAAAGACACTTGGGTCCCCGAGAAGGTTTCACCTTCTTAAAAAAAAAAAACACTTGGGAACCCCGAAAAAGTTTCACATTATTAGAAAAACCAGTTGAGATCGCTAAGAAGGTTTCAATTAAAAAAAAAACACTTGGGTCTCCGAGAAAGTTTCATTTTCTAAAAAATACACTTGGGTCCCCTGAGAAGGTTTCACAATAGTAAAAAAAGAGTTGGGATTCCTGAGAAGGTTTCAACTTAAAAAAAGACATTTGGGTCCCCGAGAAGGTTTCACCTTCTTAAAAAAAAAACACTTGGGAACCCCGAAAAAGTTTCACATTATTAGAAAAACCAGTTGAGATCCCTAAGAAGGTTTCAATTAAAAAAAAAAACACTTGGGTCTCCGAGAAAGTTTCATTTTCTAAAAAATACACTTGGGTCCCCTGAGAAGGTTTCACAGTAGTAAAAAAAGAGTTGGGATCCCTGAGAAGGTTTTAATAAAAAAAAGAAACTTGGGGCCCCGAGAAGGTTTCATTTTCTTTAAAATACACTTGGGTCCCCTGAGAAGGTTTCACAATATTAAAAAAAAACAATTGGGGGCCCTGAGAAGGTTTCAACGTAAAAAAAAGACACTTGGGAACCCCTGAGAAGGTTCACATTATTAGAAAAACCAGTTGGGGCCCCGAGAAGGTTTCATTTTCTAAAAAATACACTTGGGTCCCCTGAGAAGGTTTCACAATATTAAAAAAAACAGTTGGGATCCCTGAGAAGGTTTCAAATTAAAAAAAAAAGACACTTGGGTACCCCGAGAAGGTTTCACAATATTAAAAAAAATCTGTTGGGATCTCTGAGAAGGTTTTATTTAACTTAAAAAAAAGACGCTTGGGAACCCCGAGAAGGTTTCACAATATTAAAAAAAACCAGTTGGAATCCCTGAGAAGTTTTCAACTTCAAAAAAATACTTGGGGCCCCGAGAAGGTTTCACCTTCTTAGAAAAAGGACACTTGGGAACCCCGAGAAGGTTTCATTCTTAAAAAGAGGACACTTGGGAACCCCGAGAAGGTTTCACATTATTAAAAAAACTAGTTGGGATCCCTGAGAAGGTTTCACATTATTAAAAAAAAAAACAGTTGGGATCCCTGAGAAGGTTTCAACATAAAAGAAAGACACTTGGGAACCCCGAGAAGGTTTCACAATATTAAAAAAAAAACCAGTTGGGATCCCTGAGAAGGTTTTAATAAAAAAAAGACACTTGGGGCCCCGAGAAGGTTTCATTTTCTTTAAAATACACTTGGGTCCCTTGAGAAGGTTTCACAATATTAAAAAAAATAAACAATTGGGGGCCCTGAGAAGGTTTCAACTTAAAAAAAAGACACTTGGGAACCCCTGAGAAGGTTCACATTATTAGAAAAACCAGTTGGGGCCCCGAGAAGGTTTCATTTTCTAAAAAATACACTTGGGTCCCCTGAGAAGGTTTCACAATATTAAAAAAAACAGTTGGGATCCCTGAGAAGGTTTTAAATTAAAAAAAAAGACACTTGGGAACCCCGAGAAGGTTTCACAATATTAAAAAAAATCTGTTGGGATCTCTGAGAAGGTTTTATTTAACTTAAAAAAAAGACGCTTGGGAACCCCGAGAAGGTTTCACAATATTAAAAAAAACCAGTTGGAATCCCTGAGAAGTTTTCAACTTCAAAAAAATACTGGGGGCCCCGAGAAGGTTTCACCTTCTTAGAAAAAGGACACTTGGGAACCCCGAGAAGGTTTCATTCTTAAAAAGAGGACACTTGGGAACCCCGAGAAGGTTTCACATTATTAAAAAAACTAGTTGGGATCCCTGAGAAGATTTCACATTATTAAAAAAAAAACAGTTGGGATCCCTGAGAAGGTTTCAACATAAAAGAAAGACACTTGGGGTCTTGAGAAGGTTTCACCATCTTAAAAAAAGACACTTGGGAACCCCGAGAAGGTTTCACATTATTAAAAAAACCAGTTGGGATCCCTGAGAAGGTTTCAAGTTAAACAAAAAGACACTTGGGGCCCCGAGAAGGTTTCACCTTCTTAAAAAAAAGACAGTTGGGAACCCTGAGAAGATTTCATTATACTGAAAAAACGAGTTGGGATCCCTGAGAAGGTTTCACATTATTAAAAAAAACAGTTGGGATCCCTGAGAAGGTTTCAACATAAAAGAAAGACACTTGGGGCCTTGAGAAGGTTTCACCATCTTAAAAAAAGACACTTGGGAACCCCGAGAAGGTTTCACATTATTAAAAAAACCAGTTGGGATCCCTGAGAAGGTTTCAAGTTAAACAAAAAGACACTTGGGGCCCCGAGAAGGTTTCACCTTCTTAAAAAAAAGACAGTTGGGAACCCTGAGAAGATTTCATTATACTGAAAAAACGAGTTGGGATCCCTGAGAAGGTTTCACATTATTAAAAAAAACAGTTGGGATCCCTGAGAAGGTTTCAACTTAAAAAAAGACACTTTGGGCCCCGAGAAGGTTTCACCATCTTAAAAAAAAGACACTTAGGAACCCCGAGAAGGTTTGACATTATTAAAAAAACCAGTTGGGATCCCTGAGAAGGTTTCACATTATTAGAAAAACCAGTTGGGATCTCTGAGAAGATTTCAATTTAAAAAAAAAATACACTTGAGAACCCTGAGAATGTTTCAGATTATTAAAAAGACAGTTCGGACCCCCGATAATGTATCATTTTCTTAAAAAAAAATGCACTTGGGGACCACGAGAAAGTTTCACCTTCTTAAAAAAAAGACACTTTTGAATTCCGAGAAGGTTTCACATTATTAAAAAAAAACAGTTGGGATCCCCGAGAAGGGTACAACTTAAAAAAACCAATTGGGATCCCTGAGAAGATTACAACTTAAAAAAAAGTTACTTGGGGCCTCGAGAAGCTTTCATTTTCTTTAAAAAAATACACTTGGGACCCCCGAGAAAGTTTGACATTATTAAAAAAACCAGTTGGGATCCTTGAGAAGGTTTCAACTTTAAAAAATACACTTGGGACCCCGAGAAAGTTGCATCTTCTTAAAAAAAGACACTTGGGAACCCCGAGAAGGTTTCACATTAATAGAAAGACCAGTTAGGACCCCTGAGAAGGTTACAACTTAAAAAAAGACACTCTGGGCCCCGAGAACGTTTCATTTTCTTAAAAAAATACACTTGGGGGCCCCGAGAAGGTTTCACATTAAAAAAAAAGACAGTTGGGATCTCTGAGAAGGTTTCAACTTAAAAAAAGACGCTTGGGTCCCCCGGAAAGATTTCAGCTTCTTAAAAAAGACACTTAGGAACCCGGGGAAGGTTTCATATTTAAAAAAAAAGACAGTTGGGTCTCCCTAGAAGGTTTCACTTTTTTTCAAAAAAATACACTTGGGGCCCCTGACAAGGCTTAACTTTCTTTGAAAAAAGACAGTCGGGAACCCCGAGAAGGTTTCACATTATTGAAAAAAACACACATTTGGGATCCCCGAAAAGGTTTCAACTTCTTTTAAAAATTCAGATGGGTCGCCCGAGAAGGTTTCAACTTAAAAAAAACACTTGGAGCCCCAGAGAAGGATTCACCTTCTTTAAAAAAAAAAAGAAAGTTGGTACCCCCGAGAAGGTTTCACATTATTTAAAAAAGATAGTTGGGACCACCGAGAAGGTTTCATTTTACGGATTTTTCCTTTTTCGTGAATTCAGGTCAAAGGTTCAAGAACCACAAAGAGTTGCACGCATTTGTCATTGAATCTATTGTGCCTCTTGGTACAACCTTTAGTTCGTGTACCTACTGAAGAATATAGAAAGTTTGTAAAGGTTCAAATCTACTACTAGTTTTAGAAAATCAGAAAGTTGGAAGGAATTCTGCAGACAAATTGACAATCTTCCACAAACACCAAAATTCCAGAAGATTCTCTTGCTAAAATATTCTGGGTTCACTGTGGATCCTCTATGAGACTTTAAGGTGTTCATAGAGAAGTTTGTGGTGTTTGACTAGCATCTCTGAAAAAAATTAAGAACTATTTCATAAAGCAGTTTTTCAATTCGTGGTACATCTTTGACGAAGTGTGGGTGTGGGGACACTTATCAAGAGGATCTCTATGGTTCAACCAAAGCTACATCAAGGGAACCTAGGTTCTTGGACAAAGATAATTTCAATGTGGGGTTGATCGCAGGAGGTTGTTCTATTCCCACGTTTGTAGATTTAAATTTTCACTTAAGCGAAACTGGTGTGTGTTCAAGATTATACTGATGAGGATGATGCAGCAGTTCTTATTAAAAGCAAATTTCTTAATCTGGTCAAGGAACTCACGCAGACACTGGAGTTTGTTGAGAAATGGTGTCAATTAAGAGGATTGTCTATGAAGGTGTAAGTTTACTATAAAAACAAGAAAATGATTTTCTTTTTTTTTTGTAGGGTGACAGTAATTTGCACAATGGACAAACCCTATTTAAATCTACTCAGAATTCGGGACTTTATCGCTAGAAATACAAAATAAATAAATAAAAACTGAATAAAAAGCATTTGACTGAATCTTCTCTGAAAAATTCAAATCCGCTGTGAACTTCACCCGCTAACCCAATTTCGCGGCCGTACAATCGATCACTACAACAAAACAAAACTAAAACACACTTTAATGTTACAAAAGTAGTTTCCGTTAAATAATTAACTCGATCAATAAAATTCAATAAACAATTAATAGTTTCCGTTTTCTCCCGTTGGCAACTCTGCTCGCGCCAGCGCCACCTAGCGCCGCGTCAAACTCGAAAGAGCGGGGATTATTTCCGCAAAAGTTTGTTGTGTGTTCGTGCGATGGTGTGTTGAGCACGTCCGTTAAATGTCTTCGTTCGAAAAGACGCGCACAACAAAAAATTACGAATTTTCACAGCAACGCTGTATCGAAGAACAGTCGTCGAGATTTTGCTAAAAAACGTGTGACTGAACCGATAACGATGAGAAGAAGAGTGGGACGAGTATGTAAAAGTTAACGGTGTGTTTGTTTGACTGCATCTACAGGTGGTATCGGTGAGATGCCGATGCCGTGTTACGGTTTGTGGTGTTAAAAATGAAGTGAAAATAAGTGAAACAACATGTAAAAAAGTCGTGGAAATTGGCACGTCTTCACGGGAATTTCGAACCGACCGAAACTGTTAAAATGCGAGGTGTTGAATGGGTGCAAGAAGGGACAACTCAGGTGACCATGGAAGAAAAAGAAAGGAAAGGACGACACATGTTGGGGATTAAAGCTTATTTATTTATTATATATTTAGCTAGTATTCCACACGACGCTTTAGCTGGTGAGTACTTTCCCACTTTTTTTATTGCCCTTTGCACCCTTTCTATTATTAAATCCATGTTGCTATGGATATGTCCGACTTTTTCGCCCTCGTGGTACTTGCATTTTTAACAAATTAATCTACATTTTAAAAAAATTACATTTTTATTCACGCTTTATTGTTTGATAAAAACTCGTGTTTACGTAATGTTACCAACACTGGTAACGATTGTTTATCAATCAAAGCTCCCACCAAGTTTACCTGTTTTCAAACTTAATAACTGGCGATGATTATATTAAATGCTAACCCCCAAAGCCGCAGGCCTATAGTGAGTAAAGTGAACTCAGCGCTGGTAATTTATTGTTGTAGGTTCCATCAGACTAAATCTGACCAGTGAAAGTTCCCTCAAATACATAATTCGGGTGTTGTAGTTATAGACTTCATAACGAAGTCTCCTATAGAGAATGATAAAAAAGGAGTTCGAGAAGTCCGCGAAAACAAGCACGCGTGTTGTAACGTTATCAATGAGAATGTATAAAATAAGAACATTTGATGATACGGTCTACTTTTTTCAGTCTTCAATTTTCATTGTCTGCGGACCGGAATGTCATGCAAACCCGAACAAAAAACTAAGGGTTTGAAGGGGACCCCTGAGATTTACCTGAAGTTGTGGCAAAAGGCTCTACGACTATGAAAAACAAAAATAACGGCATTTTTTACTTAATTCGGTATATTCCAAGTTATATAACGAACATTACTGTTATAAAGAAAGATATTTGTGAGTCAACAAGCAAAGCAAACAATTTTATGTGTGTGATTATTTTTAATATTCACTTTCTGTTTCAATTTGCTAAGAAATCTAAAGGTCTTTCAATGCATTAAACTTTAAATCCTGGTTTCTAGAAACTGCAAATGCAGCTTTATGTTAAATTAATGTCTGCTGTCTATTAAAAAATGTGGCTGCCCTGACCCGGACCGGCCGTGAAACCATGCGAAACGTTGATGTAACAAACCCTGTTTTCAAAGCATAAATTATATTTTGCCTTTATAGTAATCGAGTCCATCGGACGAATGACCACTGTTACATTTTCTCGACAATTTGATGACGATATTTTAATAAACTATATTTCAAAATGTTTTGAATGTTATACAAAAATATGCTCCTGTACGAATCCGCTTTCACTTTTATGGCTAAACGTTTAAATTTTCGCAAAAACATCTGCAAGGTATAACAACGCTACATTACCAACACGGCGATATGTATATTTTTTTGTACAAATTTTCCATTTTATACGCATTTTAAGTTTTTTCTTGTGAAAAAAAGTCTACGCATGTTAAAGCAAAAAAACAAAAAGTAAGCCCGCCCACCCACCCTGTCTCTATTGTGACGATTTTTTTATTCGCCGTGAACCAAGAGGGCGGAGCTTAACTGCAAAATACTTATATCTTCGCAAAAATTAAAAACATGTTTTTAAGTATCGTGTTGTTCAAAGAATACTACGTATATTAAGAAAAAAAGAAAAAATATAAACCCCGCCCACCCACCCCATCCCAATTGTGATGATTTTTTTATTCGTAGAAACCTAAAACACGTTTAAAATGGCAATTTTTGTAAGGAAACATGGATTTTACAATTAGGCTCCGCCCCTAGGTCTGCCGACGAATGAAAACTTCATTACTATTTAGATCAAGGCAGGCATTCTTTGAGTAACACGATATGTACTCAAAAACATGTTCTTAATTTGTCATAGAGTATAACGATTTTGCAGGTAAGCTCCGCCTTCTCGGCTCACGACAAATAAAAAAAATATTCACAATTGAGACAGGGCGGGTGGGCGGGGTTTATACTTTGCCTTTTTTCTTAAGATACGTAGTCGTCTTTTCAGAACAAGAAACTTAAAAGATGTTTAAAATGGTAAATTCGTCTAGACAAATATGAATATTGAATTAAGCTCCGCCCCTCGATATGCCAACGAATGAAAAATTCATCACAATTGAAAATTCAGTTCTGGGCGGGTATGGGTTGGGCCTAATTTTTGGCTTTATTTTTCTTAATAAACATAGTATTCTTTAACAAGACGACACTCAAAAACAAGTTTTTAATTGCTCCTAGAGAAATAAGGATTTTGCAGTTAAGCTCTGCCCCTCGGCCTACGACGAATAAAAAAAAATCATCAGAATTGCGATAGGGCGGGTGGGCGGGGCTTATATTTTCCTTTTTTTTCTCTTAATATACATAGCCATCTTTTCATAACAACAAACTTAAAACATGCTTAAAATGGTACATGTTTGCAAGGAAAGCTGGATTTTGCAATACTGGGGCGCAGCTTAACTGCAAAATGGATATTTCCTTATATAAATTTTTCATTTTATACATATTTTAAGTTTTCTGTTTTGAAAAGAAATCTACAAATATTATTAAAACAAAAAGACAAGATGTAAGCCCGCCCACCCGCCCTATCGCAATTGTGATGATTTTTTTTATTCGCTGTGAACCAAGAGGGCGGAGCTTAACTGCAAAATGCTTATTTCTTCACAAGAAATTAAGAACAGGTTGTTGTGTATCGTGTTCTTCAAAGAATACTACGTATATTAAGAAAAACGGAAAATATAAACCCCGCCCACCCACCCCCTCTCAATTGTGATAATTTTTTTATTCATAGAAACTTAAAACACGTTTAAAATGGCAATTTTTTGTAAGGAAATATGGATTTTGCAAATAGGCTCCGCCCTTAGATTTGCCAACGAATGAAAACTTCATTACTATTTAGATCAGAGCAGGAATGGGTGGGACTTAATCTTTAGCTTTAATTTATGTACATGGTATTCTTTGGGTAACACGATACTCCAAAAAAGTGTTCTTAATTTCTCGTTGAGAAATAACAATTTTGCAGTTAAGCTCCGCCTTCTTAGCTCATGACAAATAAAAAAAATCATCACAATTGAGACAGGGTGGGTGGGCGGGGCTTATATTTTGTCTTTTTTGTTAATATACGTAGTCGTCTTTTTAGAACAAGAAACTTGAAACATGTTTAAAATGGTAAATTCGTCTAGATAAATATGGATCTTTTAATTAAGCCCCGCCCCTCGATCTGCCAACGAATGAAAAATTCATCACATTTGAAAATCGAGATCGGGGCGAGTATGGGTGGGGCTTAATTTTTGGCTTTATTTTTTTTAATAAACATAGTATTCTTTGAATAAGACGACACTCAAAAACATGTTTTTAATTGGTCTTAGAGAAATAAGGATTTTGCAATTAAGCTTCGCCCCTCGGCTTGCGACGAATAAAAAAATAACCAGAATTGAGGCAGGGTGGGTGGGCGGGGCTTATATTTTGCTTTTTTTCTTAATATACATAGCCATCTTTTCATAACAAACTTAAAACATGCTTAAAATGCTACACGTTTGCAAGGAAATATGGATTTTGCAATACTGGGGCGGAGCTTAACTGCAAAATGGATATTTCCTTATACAAATTATCCATTTTAAACATATTTTAAGTTTCATCTTGTGAAAAGAAGTCTACAAATACTAAAATAATAAGACAAGATGTAAGCCCGCCCACCCGCCCTGTCGCAATTGTGATGATTTTTTTTATTCGCCGTAAACCAAGAGGGCGGAGCTTAACTGCAAAATACCTACTTCTTTACGAGAAATTAAAATGTGTTTTTGAGTATCGTGTTGTTCAAAGAATACTAGGTATATTAAGAAAAACAGGGAAAATATAATGATAATTTTTTTATTTGTAGAAACTTATAACACGTTTAAAATATTAAATTTTTGTAAGGAAGTATGGATTGTGCAAATAGGCTCCGCCCTTAGATTTGCCAACGAATGCAAACTTCACTACTACATATTTAGATCAGAGCAGGAATGGGTGGGGCTTATACTTTTGCTTTAATTTATGTATATGCTATTCTTTGGGTAACACGATACTCAAAAACATGTTTTGCATTTTTCGTAGAGAAATAACAATTTTGCAGTTAAGCTCCGCCTTCTCGGCTCACGACGAATTAAAAAAATCATCACAATTGAGACAGGGTGGGTGGGCGGGGTTAATATTTTGCCTTTTTTCTTAATATACATAGTCGTCTTTTCAGAACAAGTAACCTAAAATATGTTTAAAATGGTAAATTCGTCTAGACAAATATGGATTTCGCAATTAAGCCCTGCCCTTCGATCTGGCAACGAATGAAAAATTCCTCACAATTGAAAATTGAGATCGGGGCTGGTATGGGTGGGGCCTAATTTTTGGATTTATTTTTCTTAATATACATATTATTCTTTGAACAACACCACACTCAAAAACATGTTTATAATTGCTCCTAGAGAAACAAGGATTTTGCAGTTAAGCTCCGCCCCTCTGCCTACAACGAATAAAAAAAAATCATCAGAATTGCGATAGGGTGGGTGGGTGGGGCTTACATTTTTCCTTTTTTTTTTCTTAATATACTTAGCCATCTTTTCACAACAAGAAACTTAAAACATGATTAAAATTGTACTTTTTTACAAGGAAATATGGATTTTGTAATTATGGGGCGGAGTGTAACTGCAAAATCGATATTTCCTTATACAAATTTTAAACATATGTTAAGTTTCATGTTGTAGAAAGAAGTCTACACATATTAAAACAAAAACGCAAAATGTAATCCCGCCCACCCGCCCTGTCTCAATTGTGATAATTTTTTTATTTCCCGTGAATCAAGAGGGCGGAGCTTAACTGCAACATACTTATTTCTTTACAAAATTATAAACATGTTTTTGAGTTTCCTGTTGTTCAAAGAATACTATGTACATTAAGAAAAAAGGCGAAAAATAAATCTCCCCCACCCACCCGATCTCATTTGTGATGATTTTGTTTAATCCTTAAAGACTTTAAACACGTAAAAAATGTTCAATTTTTGGAAGGAAATATGGATTTTGCAGTTGAACTCCGCCCCCTTGGCCCACGACGAATAAAATAAATGATCACAATTGAGATAGGGTGGGTGGGCGGGGCTTATATTTTGCCTTTTTTG